ACCACATATCCCATAATCCTTATAACCACTCCTTACCTCTTGACCCCTCCTCCTGGGTACAAAAGGTCCAACCGCATGGTCCACAGATCATTCCAGATGTATACCTGAAAGAGAAAGGTACAAGGTCAGTGACCTCCAGTACCAACTGATCAACAATAAAACTACTGAAAAGAAATTGGGCTATGTCTTTGAGTTATTGGGCTAGATCCAGTTTCTAACAGAGGCACCCTCTTTGGGTGGGAGGAGAGCTCTACTTTCCAGCCAGACAGCCTTCCCGCCTCTAACAGGGCCGGCTTTTCCCTCCTGCCAGCTAGAGGTCTTTCCGTCAGAGCCACACTTAAAGCCCTGCTCCTCTTGCCCATTGGCCTCCCAGTTTGTGGCACACCTGGCACTGACGTTCCCTCAGTTGGCAGGCATCCATTAAGCAACCAAGGGGAGGTGGACCTTCTGCCTCCGGCTGCTGCCAGAGCAATCCCTCTGTCCGCCAGAAGGGGGCAGCAAATGCTTTCCAATTTCAGCATCTGATGAGAAGTGGGTGGGGGGGAAACCTTGCCTGTCTCTCCTTTTCCTTGCTTGGAGTCTCCTAAACCCTCAAGGTAACAACAAATCGGCACAATGGAGTCTTGCTTCTCCTGAAAGGACTCAGCTCCGAGTGGGACATGTGCTCAGAGTTCTTTCACCTTTCCCCAAATGGTGGCAGGATGCATGTGGAGTCCAGCCCTGACAGAGTGCCTGGCAAAGGGTAGTCAGGTCACAAGCCACCCACTCACAGGAGAGGCTCAAACTCACTCAAGCCCAGCTGGCCTTTCTAGCACCCTGACTGCCTGACAGAAATGCAACTCATGAGCTTCCACAAGGGAACGCTGCAATATTTCTCAACTGCAACTACTTAATTACTAGCAGACAGTAAAATTTAAATCCACCAGAATAGAAGGGACCTCGGAAGACTTTTAGTCCAACACCCTGGTCAAGCAGGAGAGCCTATACCATTTTGGTAAGAAAAGACTGGCTGTCCAGTCTTTTCTTAAAAACCTCCAGTGATGAAGCACCTACAACTTCTGGTGGCAAGCTGTTCCACTGGTTAATTGTCCTCACTTTTAGGAAGTTTCTCCTTAATTCCAGGTTGCTTCTCTCCTTGATTAGTTTCCATCCATTGTTTCTTGTCTTGCCTTCTGGTGCTTTGGAACATAAGTTGATCCCCTCTTCTTTGTGGCAGCCCCTCAAATACTGGAATACTGCTTTCATCCTAGTCCTTCTTTTCTCTGACCATATCCAATTCCTACAACCTAGTTATCTTCGAGACCGCCTGCTGCTACCGATGGCCTCCCATCGACCTGTGTGCTCCCACAGAGAGGGCCTCCTCGGGGTGCCATCAGCCAAGCAATGTAAGCTGGTGACCCCCAGGGGGAGGGCCTTCTCTGTGGGGGCACCTACGCTCTGGAATCAGCTGCCCCCAGAGATAAGGAGAATCCAAGACCTCGGTGCCTTCCGCCGTGCCCTTAAAACCTTCTTTTTCCAACAAGCCGGGCTGGCCTAACACTTTTAAAAATGTTTTTAATTGTCCGTTATTGTTTTAATCATGGGGCCAAATTTATATATATCTTTTTAATTGTATTTTAATGTTTGTAGTTTATGTTTTTACTTGGCTGTTCACTGCCCTGAGTCCTCAGGGAGAAGGGCGGTATACAAATTTTAAAATAAATAAATAACTAAACCCAGGTGTGAAATGCTACCGGTTTGCTCTGGTTCGGGAGGACTGGTAGTGATAAAAACTACTGGTTCAAGCAAACTGGTAGTAAAAAAAATGCTTTAAAAAAGTAAAAAACAGGTTCTGACAACAGGTTCTCTCCACGATTGTTGGAACCTTTTTTTACTTTTTAAAGCATTTTTTAATACTGGTTCGGGTGAATAGGCAGTAAAAAATGTTTTAAAAAGTAAAAAAAAAGTTGGCCATGCTCACCCAGTCATATGACACCCCCCCACACACGCTCACAGAACCAGTAGCAAAAAAATTTTGCATTTCACCACTGCTACAACCGTTCATCATATGTTTTTGTCTCCAAGCCTTTAATCATCTTAGTTGCTCTTCTTTGCACTTTTTCCAAAGTCCTTTTTTGTAATGTGGTGACCAAAACTGGATGCAGTATTCCAGGTGTGGCCTTACTAAAGCTTTATAAAGCAGTACTTTTACTTTATGTGATTTTGATTCTATGCCTCTGTTTAAACAACCAAAGATTGTATTAGCTGTTCTGGCTGTTGCGACTCCAAGATCCCTCTCACAGTTACTGTTTTTGAGCCAGGTTTCACCTACAATGTACTTGTGCCTTTGGTTGTTCCTGCCTAAGTATAAAACTTTCTTTTCTCCACATTAAATTTCATGCTGTTGGATAGGACCCATTGTTCAAGTTTTTGGACCCTAACTTGTCTTCTGGAATTTTGGCTATTCCTGCCAGCTTAGTGTCATCTGCAAATTTGATGAGTTCCTTCTATTCCCTCATCTAAATCATTTATGAAGATATTGAAGAGTACTGGTCCTAAGATAGAACCTTGTGGAACCTACCCCCTCCATGTAGATGTACCACCATTAAGGACTACTCATTGAGTATGGTTTGTCAGCCAGTTGAAATCCACCTGGTGGTGATGCTGTCTATCCCACATTTTTCTAGTTTATCAAGAAATACCGGTAGGTTGTGGTCTACTTTGTCGAATGCCTTGCTGAAATCTAAATATTCTATGTCCACAGCATTTTGCTGTAAGTTAGTCATTTTGTCAAAGAAAGAAATAAGATTGGTTTGGCATGATCTGTTTTTAACAAACCCATGTTGGCTACTAGTTATAACTTTGTTTCTAGATGTTCCCAGATCTGTTTTTTTTATTATTTTCTCCAGTATTTCCCATATATTAGTGTTAAGCTGATTGGTCTGTAGTTTCCTAGATGTTTTTTTTTCCTTTCCTTTTTTGAAGATGGAAACCACATCAGCTCTTTTCCAATCCTCTGCTAATTACCTGGTGCTCCAGGATTTTTTAAACATAAGATACAATGGTTCTGAGATAACATCTGCCAGCTCCTACAGAACTCTGGGATGTAATCCATCAGGTCTCCGTGATTTATATTCATATTTATATTTCCTCTCTTATCAAGCATTAGCAGCTCCCAAGTAAACTCAGGGGTCTTTTCAGGGGAGTGGTGCTCTTTGTTCTTTCTTTCTTTATACATTTCTTTTCTTTCAGGAGAAACCTTCCAAGAAGGCAAGCTACATCCTTTGAAAATGTAATTTTAAGCATCTAGTATAGCAAGAAAAATTATATCCTGTAAATTTTGAGAAAATAGCTTTTTCATTGCCAATGGGGGGCAACTAGAAGAGATGCTCCTTTGGCAATGGACCAGCCTCTTGAGGAATGGTAGGAGTTACAAACCTCAGGGCCCTGATCCCATCTTAAACAGACATGGCAGGTCAAAGGCAGTATCCTGAATTGTCCTTGAGGGGGGAAGCAGAGAACAGAAAGGGGCAATCCCAGTCAACCATTGCCTCTACAGACAATGTAGGGAAGCTCTTTTCTGAGCAGCCTCCCAGAGGAGACTTGCACATGGCCAGTTTTGCCAACCCTGGAAGGCACAGATAATTGAGGCCGGGCCATCTCCATCCAAGAAGATTTTTGAGTCCACTTGTGTTCTTCCAAGGTGGGCAAAATCTAAGCACATCCTCTGTGCTTGAATAGGATATTCTATCCTATTCAATAGAATAGAATAGAATAGAATTCTTTATTGGCCAAGTGTGATTGGACACACAAGGAATTTGTCTTGGTGCATATCCTCTCAGTGTACATAAAAGAAAAGATACATTCGGCAAGAATCATAAGGTACAACACTTAATGATAGTCATAGGGTATAAATAAGCAATCAACAGACATTTGTTGTAGGTCTACCATTTGTTTCTCCTGCTCAACATACAGTAGTGGCCAAAATTGTGGAAACCTTTTTGGGAAAGTGTATTTTTGAGATTTGATGGCTAATAACACCACTTTTTATTTTGGAGTTTCAAGATAATCCTATTCCACTGCTGGAATGGCCTGGGAATAGCCCAGACCTTAACCCAATTGAAAATCTATGGAGCTGTCTAAAGAAACTTGTTAATCAGAAGCGATCCAGCAATAAAACCCAGTTAATAGAAGCAATCTTTCAATCTTGGTTTCACATTATAACAGCTGCAGAACTAAAAGACCTGGTTCACTCTATGGGAAGACATTGTAAGGCTGTAATTCATGCTAAAGGGTACCCAACTATTAACTGACGTGATAATTTTTGTATATCTCATTTTTCTACATGTTTCATTTTTCTTTTTTATACTGTAACTGATATTCTAATAGCAAATCCTTCATAAAAGTTATTACATTACATTCTTGATTAAATTATCTTTTCATTGATATATAATTTTATAGTACTACTCTGAAAAAAAGTGGCGTTATTAGCTAGTTTTAGAAACTACACTTTTCCCAAAAGGTTTCCACAATTTTGGCCACTACTGTAGCTACTGCCTCAGCCCACTCAAAGCAGTTGATGAACAACTGTCATCACAAGTCCTCCAGAATTTCTGCACATCTTCTCCCCAAAGTTTCCTCACCTAAATTCAAAGCACCCTCAGAGAAAGTGTCTTCTGTTGCCCAAGTAACTGAGAGACCCAAAGAGCACAACACCCCTGGCAACAGTCCCTTGACAGCCGCCGTCATTAGCAGGAAGAGAATCCCTGGCGCACAACCTACACAGGTCCAGGGTGAGGCTGCTGAGTCAAAGCCCTTGAAACATCACTCAGCCCTCTGGCTTCCTCTGCCCTTTGCCCATCAGGGCCACCCAGAAGAGCAATGCTAAAATTCCCGAAGAAGCCAGATGGAAACCCTGCTATTTCTCAGAGCTCTGGGACTCCACCCCCACCCACCTGTACATCTTCAAAGGTTTGCATCTCATTGGGGGGGGGAGCTAACCCAGAAAATTCAACCTTTACCTGTCATTGCAAAATGCAAGACTTCCTACAGCAGGTCAGCTGATCCTCTTGCTCTGGCCAACAAGACTCTCAAAGCAGCTGTTCCCTGGGAGCTATCAGCAATGGCGCCAGCAACTGCAGGGGCTCTGTCCAAGGCCGGCCCTCTTAGCACAGGCCCAATGACTGGTCCAGGGGCCAATCTTTGAGTTGACACAGTCGCCTAGCAGCACACTTGCTTCCTGGGCTCCAGGCTGCTCTGAGGCTCCACCTCTTTCTCCTGGCTGCCCAGGCAACCCAAAACCATGATGGTGATGGGGGGTGGGAAATCAAACAGCAGCTTCTGGCAAAGAAGTCACTGCCCGGCGCAGGGTGGTAGGGAGAATGGAGCCTTGGGCCTTCTCTGGGTACCTCTCCAGACGCCTCGGATGGGAAGTGGGCAGGTCATCCCCACCCTGCCGGGAGCTCGGGCTTAATGGCTGAAAAGAGCAGGAGCTGCGGCTGGAATCGCATGTGAGCCAAGTTCCGTCTCCGGCCGGGATTTAACGCCACCAGCCCAGAGCTCGGTTCTGCCCACCTTCTTTACAGCTGGAGCCCCCGCCTCCCTTTATTCAGCCCATCCTGGTAATTGTCTTGGAGGGAAAGGAAGGCCGCCCCCCTCCCGCGTCCGCTCTGCCAGGAATCACTGAGCAATGCTTTGAGGAGGGAGAGAGGTCGAGATGGAGCGAATAGCTAATAGCTCAGCTGAGCGTGGCTGAAGGTGAAACTCTGTTAGGGATCTGTAGGAAATTAAGAAATACGCATCTGCGTGGTGAGGAGCACCAGCCATTTACTGCCATTCAAGGCTAAGCACAGAGCGCTTCCAAGGTAAGACCCCCCCCCCGCCCAGCCAGGCCAGCTTTCCTGCCGCCGCCGGCTTGGCTCGGGCTCCGAAGGCGCGTGCAGAGGCTGGCAGCCGGGCCAGCTGCTTCCGGCTAGTGGCGGGAGTCCCGAGGCGGCTGCGGAGGATTGCTTGCCCCGGTGCCGCAGGAAGAAGCGCCCCCGCAATCGCTCCGGCAGCCCCACCCAGCCGAAAGCCCCGCCGGCGCTGGGAGAGCCGAGGAGGGCGCGGGCAAGCGGGGCATCCGTGCTCCTCAGGCCCTCCAGCCCGTCACCTCCCCCCGCCAGTCAGACGAGAAGAGGCAGGTGGGCGTTCCCCGGGCTTCTTCTGGCCGGCGCCCAGGTGCGGGCATGCCGTCCTCATCTCGCTGCAAGGGGGCGAACCGGGCTCCGGAGCGCTCTTGAATGCCCTTCGACGGCCAGGCGATCGGCTCGGGGCCCGCGGAGCTGGAAGGAGGAACGCGGGGGCTGACCGTTCCCCAAGGCAGCGGGATTCAGGAAGACCCGCTGCCCGTTTGGAAAGAGGCGGAGTTAAGCCGACGCTTTTGTAACGCAATGTATGGCTGTGAAAGTTGGACTATAAGAAAGGCTGAGCACCAAAGAATGGAGGCCTTTGAACTCTGGGGCTGCCAGTCCCTTGGACTGCAAGGCGATCCAACCGGTCAGTCCTTGAAGAGATCAACCCTGACTGCTCTTTAGAAGGCCAGATCCTGAAGAGGAAACTCAAATCCTTTGGCCACCTAATGAGAAGGCAGGACTCACTGGAGAAGAGCCGAATGCTGGGAAAGATGGAGGGCAAAAGAAGGGGACGGCAGAGAATGGGGTGGCTGGATGGAGTCACTGAGCTTAAATGGTCTGGGGGGGATGGTAGAGGAAAGGAAGGCCTGGACGAAAGTTGTCCATGGGGTCCCGATGGGTTGAACACAACTTCGCAACTAAAAACAACACCGTATGCCGAAATGCACTATAGGAGCCAGAAAGAGGCAGCCGCCCAGAAATGGATCCCCCTGGCCACTTTGGCTTTCCCTCTCCAAGCCGCTAAAGGAAAATCATCTTCGGTTTCAGCAGAAGCTGGACATGCAGATGGCTCTGAGCAGCGCCCCTCTCCGAGATCCCTGAGGGAGGCCGAGGCAGGCAAGGAGGGACTAGGCCTTCCCCAGAAATATTGGGGTAGCCAAGGTCAAGCTCTTCCCCTGGAATTGGGGGGGGGCTCCTGCTGCCTGCCATCCCGGTAGGAAGAGTTCCAGGGAAAAGGAGGAGAGGCCCTTCCCAAACAGATGTTGGATTCATGAGAAGCATCAAACTCTCTCCTTCCTTACACCTATTTGTCCTCTTGCGTTTATGTGTCTTCTGCTTTAAGAACTATATTTTATTAAATCTGCTCGCTGAGAGGTAGTCCCTTGGGTGTGTTGTGGTCAGTCCTGGCTCACCTAAAGCAACCAAATCACTTTGAATAAACAGCATAATTTTATTAGCACGCATAGTATACTGTTGTGGGTTTTTGCCAAAATAAGCAGCACACCACTAGGGAGAAGAACTGTGTTTATTGCAAGGACTGTTGAGTGTCTGCATTAGAAGAAAAAGGGGTCCCAAACTACGAGAAAGTCAAGATGTTTATAGAAGTTAGGGCTACAAGGCAGGAAGTCTTCGGAATCTGATTGGCTGGCCATTTGGGCTACCTGGGTGGGTCAGTCTTGTCTTTAGGCCAAGGGAGCCTTTCCGGTGGCCACAGGAGCTGGAAAGCCACTCATGAAGGAGAAGGTTGGGGTTCTTCACCCAGTTGGTTTAAGACTGGCTTGCGGAAGGCCTTGTCTGGGGCCGGGTGTATCAATTTGAGTCTGAAGGGATTGGGCAGAGAGAGGACGGTGTGGGGAAAGGGTGCAGCCTCCATTTTGTTTATTTTCGGCACTACGATATTGGGCTCCCAGCAAAGATGAGCAGTCCTGAGCAAAAGCAGAGGCAGTGCTGATGGACCTTTGGCCTTCTATAGCCAGACAGAGAGAAAAGGCAGAGAGGGTGGAAATGACAGAGTGCTGTTGGAATATTTAAGCTAAACCCATTTCCCTTCCTATTAGGTCACTTGCTCGCCATATTATCTTTCAGAACAGTGAATAGACCATAGATTCCTGACTGAGTCCTCTCCCCATCACCACTTAGGTCAATTCAGCTTGCTGTGAGTTTTTTTTACAAGGGCATTTGGTAAGAGCTCATATGTTTTTTTGGGGGGGGGAACATCTCATAGGTTTGATAGTGAATGTAGTTGATGTATGTATAGGAGGGGGGCATATCTTTTACAATCACAACAGCTACACCTGTTAATGATTTCTTTCCCCCCCCTGAAATTATACCTCAGAATAAATAAGAAAACCTAAAGATGTTGCCTCCGGCAGAGGAGCACCATAAATTAAGCTGGATGGGGAAACGGTCTGGCCAAGAAGAGCATGAGGTCTCTGGGCATCTTTTGGCCTGGCTGGTCGTCTGGGAAAGGCTGCCAGTTGCAGGGAGCCAGGGAAGGGAAGGGTTGCTAGGATGACCAGAATGCAGCTGCTCCTCGACCATCTTGACTTGGCATCTGGCCAATCTGGCATCTTGTTCACCTGGGCAACAGACAGGGCAGGTGCTCCTTGGGGTATTAAATCGGGCCAAGAGGGGCTTCGGTAATAAGGCCTTAGAAATGCTGCTCTTGTCATGCTTGGGTAAAAAGCTCAGCTCCTGCAGGCCCCCTCTCCCTGGCAAGGAGACCAGGGAATGAGCATGCAAGTAAAGAAGCCGAGGGGAAGAATCGGCAGCATGGCAGGGGAGCGCTTGGACATCAGCTTCTCATTGAGCAAGGACAGCCTAAAACCATGAGACCATGCAAAGGAGACACCACCTGGTTCCTGTCTCTCGAGGCATCACTGCACATCTGCTCTGCTCTCTTGCCAGGAGGAGACCTGAAAAAAGACCTAAGTCCAGATGCAGCCACCCTCAATTCTGAAGCACTGAAGAACCACTAAAGAGGATAAGGAAACCATACTCGGCTCCACTGGGCCTCCAATAGGCCACTGCTCCAGCAAAGCCCACCTCCCTCTCCATAGGAATGCATCACAGAAACCAATATTCAGCAGAGGTGCACCTACTGGTTTCCAGATGCAGGTAAAGCAGATCCAGCTTCTCACCCTGCCCTTTCAGTCATCCCTTTCTCCGCTACCTTTCTGAGGAAGGAAGGCAGCATTTCCAACCCACACCCCAATGCTGATGATATTTGATTGTCAGAAGGAGAACCAGGTCTTTGGTCTAATGCCCATCTACTTCATTCCTGCAGCTACAGGACTTCTTGAAACTGAAGCTCAGCCTGAGTCCAGAACCCTTCACCTTTCAGACATGAGCAATGCCAGGCTTGCCATCCATCTCTGCAATTTCTCCCAAGAAGCAGCGCTTGTTTGCAGCCAGTTGAGTAACATAGTTGTGTCTCAAGCATCAGTCGTTTGAAAGAGGGTCTTCTCCTGCCCTTGCTAGAGTCCGGCAGATCAACTTGGAGGGTTGGACCCCAGAGATCTGCACCTCATGGAGTCAGACCTTTGGGGCTGATTTGGAGTTCATTTTGGAGCCCGGCAGCCCATTCTCTGTGTTCTCATTTGCTGAAGAGCTCACAAGGCACTCCCTGCAGGAGACAGAAAAGAGACAGGCTCAGTCTTGCTTCACACTGGGAGTCCCAAGCAGAGGCTGTCCCAGGAGCTGCTGCTCCTCCCCATGCCATCCAGTAGGAAGGCCTCTCAGGAGCTCCACTGCCTGGAGGAGTCTACCATGGCAGGAGGGCCAGCCGAGTGTGCTCCCACGCCAAACCTCCTGTCTGGAGAACCAGACGCCTGTCACTTGAAGACCTGTTCCTGAGCCAGCCAGCCACGTGGCTTGCCCATATTCTATCCAAGGCAGCACAAGCACACTCACTTCTGTTTCCGTGTCTTCTTGAGAATGAAGAGGACCAGTTTCTTGGTCAGCATGATAAGGATGAGGAGCCCAATGACGCCACCCGCAACAGACAAAATGATCCGCGTCAGTGTGTTGTCAACCTTCTCCACTGAGGAGGCAGAGAAGGCAGTGAGGGCCAGGGAGAAAGGAGCCCCCTGCCTGCACCCTCAAGCCATGGGCTTCCCTACACCCAAGCTCAGCAAGCCAATGGCTCAGAGGAAGGCTCCTTCCCACCACCCCAACTGTGGAGCTGAAAAATACAGTCTTGCCTCAGTCAGATGCCTCTAACTGTGCACGACCGAACCAAGGCCAGGCTCCATTGCCCAGCTGCTACTCACACATCACAACCACTTTGAGAGTAAAGGTGCCACTGTGGTTGGCATCCTTCTCTTTGGGATTCTTGACCAAGCAGGTGTATGGCCCAGAGTCCTCAAAGTCAGCATCAAGCAATAGGAGGGAAACGTTGAACTCCCGGTTGTCCTTGCTGAGTGGTAGGTCAGGTGGCAATATGTGCTTAAGGTTGAACTTGTACTCTGGATGAGGCTCTGGCTTGGAGTCTTTGTTCTTTACAACCCCTTTGAATATCTGCAGCAGGTGAAGAGCAGTGAATGAAGCCATGACTCTTGAAACCTTTCCTCAAGGTAGAATTTCCCAAGGGAAATTCTCTAATATCCAAGAACTACCTGACATAGCTTGCCAAGCATCCTCCACAAAGTGGTTGAGGGCAGAGGCCAGCTAAAGGGAGCTGTCCCCACTCCTCTCCTCCCCCACCCCACTGTGCAGACGGTGGGATGCTTGTGCTTCCTGGCAATGCAGAATTTTCCATAAGGGGCCCAACTTTTTCCCTCCACACTTCGACCCTCTTTGGGGGGAAATGGGGAGGATGCTGTGCCTCCTCTCAGGAGTGAGGACTTAGACTGTTTCCATCTTCATCCATCAGCCCTAGAACACAGGGACTGGACCCTGCTTCTTTGCAGCTTCTGGGACTACACTGTAAAGAAGGAAGGAAGGAGAAATTGTCCGGGCTCTCTGGCTGCTCTCCAAGCAGACCAAGTGGCAGCCCAGACTCTGCAGGGCTGTAAATAGAGACAGGCAAGGCTTTCCTTGCTACTTATTAAATGTGAAAGCTACCTTCAATAGTTAATTGTCATTAATAAAAGCACCAACGATCATGACACCTTAAAGAATAAAGAATTTATCTCATAGCTGAATAGTATTGGTAGACCTTGCTTAATGACTGCCTTGTTCAGCAACTATTCAGAGCTACAAAAGCACTGAAAAATAAGTTTGTGATCAGTCCTCAACACTTGCAACCAGGGCAGCTTTGCTTTTGCAACTGCCTCAGCCTCCCACCCACCCCCCCTCCATCATGTGATTGCTAGTTGCATGCTTCATAGCCAGCTTCTGACAAGCAGAGTCAACAGAGAAGGTAGCAGTAAAATTGCAAGCCATGGTCACGTGATATCTTGTTTATCGACCACATTACTTAATGATGGAACTGCCGGTCCCATTTGCGGTTGTTAAGCGAGGACTACCTGTAGATCCATTCATCTTCAAGGTGCCATAAATGTCTCTGCTTTCTGCTTGGAATCTAGCTTCATCAAAACTTCTAACACTCAAACCAAGCAGCCCTATCAGCCCATCAGCCTCCCTCCCAGCCCAGCCCAGCATCAATCACCGCAGGTCACGCACTTCGGTCTGATTGTGGCTCCATACGAAGCTGGCTTTCTCAATGCCGATGCAGGAGTTGAAAGTACAGGGCAGTAGCACATTGGTGCCATTCTTGGCATAAATAACAGGTGCCTTGCCCACTGACACCTCCAAGGTCACTGTCCGAGAGCACAACTGAAGTCCTAAAAAGGAAGGAAGGAAGGAAAGAAGGAAAGAAAAAGAAAGAAAGAAAAGAAAAGAAAGAAAAAGAAAGACAATGCTTATCTTGGCAGGGTTGTTTTTATCTGACCTGAGTTTTTTGGATCAGACGGACTCTCTTCACACCAAGTGTGTATCCTATTCTTGCCTTATTTGGAGGGAGCTTGCCCAATGACCACATAAACAGGTCACATCAAACTGAAAAGACAGCTTCCGATGTACATGTGGACCTTGGCTATACAAAGCCAGCTTGGGGAGTGGGGAGGGTGGAGGGTGAGGGTGAAGAACCATCCTCTCTAGCAGCCACCAGCCAGAGATAACTGTTCTTCAGCTTGCTTCCTGGTCCACGGCCTACAGGCTCCACTGGCTACTTTACACATCTTGAGCAAAACAGAATTAATCTCATAGCCCCAACCCAGAGTTTTGACAGGAGCATTAGGAAAGCACAGCAGCACTCAAGCACAATGAAGTTGCTGGAAGGCCTGGTCATGCCCTACCTTCTCAAATGTCCAGAAAATGCATCAAATGGTCCAAACCTGTTGGACCAAATGTTCGTATACTGGACCAAGTGTAAGAAAGTATTTATCAAAAGAACTGGATCTTTACTGACATCATAAATCAATCTACAACATTCTCTTGTGTCCAATGAAGAGCCTCTATGCCAAGGGTGTCAAACTCAAGGCCTGGGGGCTGGATCCGGCCCACGGCGTGCTTACGTCTGGCCCACGGAGTCACCCTGGAAACAGTGAAGGACTGGCCCATGGTGCCTCTGCCAGCGAACACGCCCGTCCTGAGCTCCATTTTTGCTGACAGAAGATTGCAGGAGGCTGCCGCAGCCAAAAACAGAGCTCGGGAGCCTGTTTTCACTGGCTCATGTCCCCAACATGAGTGACATTATGCTGGCCAGGCCCACCCTGGCTCCCAGAGGTCAAACACAACCCTGATGCGGCCCTCAATGAAATCGAGTTTGACACCCCTGCTCTATGCCCTCAACTGAAGAGGCACATTGAGCAGAATGCTGAGAAGGTCCTAATTCAGCCAAGGATGTGTCTTCCAAGGATGCCATCAACCAAACAGAATTGTCTGAAGGGAAGGATGGCCCTACCTCTTGCAAGCCAATAATGGAGTTATGGTGCTCTTTGAAAATGGTGACTGGTCTAACTTCCCTCTTTGCAGCTTAACATACAGACTAAGTTCACAGAACATGCTAGACAAGCTAAAACAAATTGGCAGTTTGTATGAAGTAGGTTAGGGGACCGAGTTGCAATTTCAGCTCTGATTCCCAGTTCAAACATCTGGGTCCTGCACTTGCCTAAAAAAGAAGGCTTCTTTATGTTGTGCTTCCGAAAGTTGGCCAAGGGCAATTGTCAGAATCTGTGAAGTGGCGGAAGAGCAGAGTTCCTGGAGCAGTCAGGTGCAGCGGGGTATGTGGGGTGTGTGTGTGTGTTTCTACAGTGAAGAGTCAGCTGTGCAAGAGTGTCCTTTCCTGACTCAAGGACACTCAAGAGCTTAGCTCCTTCTCAAATTCTCTTCCAGCATCTCCTCCCAGCTTCCTTACATGTGTACAAGTGAGCCCAATTCTCGGCAGGACTGGCTAGCCAGGCCATCCCATCAACAAGGGGACTTGGGACCATGGCCTGAGATGGGTGCAATCCCCACTCCAGACATTGGATTGCTGTGTGTCTTGAACTAAACCTGTCTGTGGCATGATCACAAGTGAGGGTGCCCTGGAAGAATCCCCTCCCTAAGTACTTGTCCAGCTGGCTTCCATGGGAGAGAATGGCAGATGTCCACCAGAAGCCCCTGCCGTTGCAAGGTGTGCTGCTCTCCTGCCTGCTGTTCAGAAGTACTTGGGCGCATGGTCAACCCACCCCATCCCTGCAACCCCGGCCCAGGCCAATGCCTGGAATTAAAAAGCAACATACCCAGGGAAGGGAGACCATGACATCAGTTGTGGTAGGGCAGACCCAGGTTCAAATCTGCTCTCAGCCATGGAAACTTTGGACCCGTTATTTTTTCTCAGCCCTTCCCAGGAGGTAGCTACTATGGGAATAACCTTAAAAAAGAGACTTGGGGAAGCTGTTTTCAACTCTTGAAAGAAAGGCAAGAGGTGCCTCTACTAAACAAAAGGAATATAGACTCAGATCCACCCATCTCACTCCCTGAGCCAATGGCAGTTTTTCTATTTCTGCCCCAAAGGGAACCTGACCACAGAGCAACTCAGGTGCGTCACCATGGATAGATCTGGTGTTTCAAGGAAGAGAGCTCGCTCAGACTCAAGGGGAAGCCTTCACTTTCAAAGGTAGGTGAGGCTGCCTCTCCCATTACCAAGAGCCTCTTCACCTCTGGCTCAACTTTCCAGTGGGTTCAGCCTCTTCTGGCAGTCACTGTCGGGAGGCACCAGCCCAGTGGTGATCCTTGCTCAGAAAGTCATCCAGCCTGCTCCCCAAAGCACCAAAGATTCTGCAAAGCCACGGTGCTCTGAATATTTTTAGTCCAAATGTAGGTAATGTGAAGTAATTGATGGGGATTTGAATGGGACAAGACCTCTGCAAGGTGCCAGACCTTTGAGTGGCATCCAGCCGATTGGCCAACATGGGAGCCTCTGGTTTGTCTGGGACAGAGCAATTGTCAGGCCCTAAAGGGGGGCTTCTTACACAACTGACCCAGGGAGGGAAACGGGAGGGGGAGGCTTTGTAATTAAAGTTTATTACAAAATAATTATCAGGCACTACAACATTATTTGACTACAGGTATTTGTCATTCAGAAAACAAAATAACTCGGGACTGACCTTACTAACATTAGTAGAGTGACTTTTTTTCTTTTGCTTTTTGCAAGAGTTCAATTAGAATTGCACTCTCAGTAGGGAGGCAGAATTCATTTAAAGGAGGGGAACTACAAGGTCCATCTGAGTCTCCTGAACGCTTCCTATGGTGTGCTTGCTCCAGAGAAAGGATTGAGACCAAGGGAATTGGCGTCCTTCTGACTTGTTCAGAAGTCTTGGATGGGACGCTCACATTCCAGGTAAAGAAAACAGCATCAGCCGTAAAGCGGGGGAAAGGAAGGTGCTTCGGATCCTCTTATTTGAACCCCTCACAACAACCCGGAGATTCACCACCCTTCCCGCTCCCTAGTTTCAAGAAGTTCAACACGGACTTCCCACAAACTTTCTGTGTAAACGAGGCTTCTTGGAGCCGAAGCAAACTTAAAGCGAGGTCGTACTTACTCCAGGGGCGTTGTCTAGGATTCTGCTCGAATCTTTAAAAAGGTATCCGGGAGGGAGGGAGAGAACGAGCAGGCAGAAGAGGCTGCCAGCTGGAGCAAAAAGTCACCTAACACACTACAGCAAATGCGGGAGAAAACGCCGGTCCTGCGCTTCCCCTATCCCGCTCTCCCGCCCAGGGACGGCAGCCGAGCCGCGGCGGGATGGGGCCAAGGGATTTGCAGTTGTGGCGCGCGCCAGCGGAGAGGGGAAGGCAGATGTCCCCCCGCTTTTTGTCCGAGTCACGCGCCCTGCTAGGTGACCGCGGACCGGTCAGTTGGCTGGGGCCCCAGGCGACCGACACTTCCCCGAAGCTCGGAGCGGCTCTGCGTCCTTACCTAGCAAGGCGACTCCCAGCCAGTCCACGGCCATCTCGGCAACTCCTCGGCCGCCTCTCTCCTCTCCCGTTGACGCCGCAGTCTCCAACTGCCGAAGTTGCTTTCGCGACCGACCGCCGCAGTTGCCGCTCCTGGCTCCGCGCACGGGCCGCCCCTTCCAGCAGCCGGCAGCCCAAACGGCAGCGAGAGGCGGAGGCGGACACTCCCGGAACCGCCTCCGCGGTGATGCCAGGCCCCCCGCGGAGGCGTGGAGGGCGCGCGCAGCCTCGTCGCACCGGGCCTGGGGAGCAGCACCGTCCTCCCCGAAGGTCGTTGGCCGCCTGCCGCCCGCAGCGCCGGATAAACGGCTGGAGCAGGCGTGCCAAGCCCTCCCGCTTTGGTTGCTTTGCACTTAACCCCGACGGGGACGGAGTCTTTCCCTCCTCTGTTCCACCAACGCAGGCGGCTGAATTAGGCCTTAGGAATTTCCACGCAAGATAGGCAAGGGGTGCTTTTGGGGGGCAAAAATTGGCCTGTCCTCCCCAGGGGTAGGCGAGGCAGCTAGAATAGGAAGGAAGCCCTGCCCAGCTTGGCCCTGAATCCCCCGCAGGGGCAGTGGGGAAGCTAACTTCTCTCCAGTGGGATATTTGGGGGCTGAGAAGGTTGCTCCGGATGGAGCAGGGGATGGAAGGGCAGCAGGAAAACCAGGCGAGGAGCGGCAATTGGGCAGAGAGAAGATTTTTTCTCACATGCGAAGGTAGAGTCACTGCTGAAGCAGCAGGAGGGAAGCCTTCGTGCTGATCAAGGAAGGGCTACCTTCACTTCTGGGGAGCTGGGCTTTTGCTGCCAATTTAGCTAGGCTAGCTTTAGGGACAGGCCTTTCCCATCAACGCTTCTTGTGTCCTCCAAGCCCAAACCTGCTTCAGGCATCTCGGGAAGGAATTCAAAGCTCACACGGTCCAGGAATGCAGGAGGTGGTGGGGCTCCAACATCCCACTCTCTGGGAAGCAGCTGGCGGCCGTTTCAGCAGAGCGACCCTCAGCCTAGCTTGTGCCAGAGCAGTGCCATCCAAACTAGACAACCCTTCCGATGTTGCATAGAAAGTGGGGGGGAGAGATGAGGGAAAGAAGAAAGGAAAAGCTCCTGTCTTAAGGGGAAGGGCAGAGGATGCCAGTCTTGGGGGCATCCTGAGCCACGGGCTAGCTTCTGCTGACGTGGCAGGTAGATGGTGCGGAGATGCTGCGGTAGTGGCAGCTTCTGAAGCTCCCAGAGAATCATGACTCAGGGATTGTGCAGTGAAAGATAAAAAAGAAAAAAAGAAAAAAGAAAAAGAAGCTGTAAAGGTGCCAGAAATTCCGGGCAGCAATCTAGGGGGAGGGGGGAGCAGCTCTTACTGCATGGGGGGAGGGGAATACTTTTTCCATGCCTTTGTTGCGGGTGACCATTGCAGAAAGTCAGGGGCACTAGGCCAAGAACTTAGGCCCATTGAGGGCCTGGCTGGACTTCAGCCAGGAGCTGGCCAGGACTCTCCAGAGGAAGGGAGGCATTCGCGCTCTCCATGCAAAGGGGCGTTTGCTTGGTGCCAGCCAGCCTCAGGGCTCAAAGAGCGAACACCGGAGAGGAATCCCAGCGCTCGCCGGAGAAGCTTGGCTCCCTGGGGCCGCAGCAGCCCAGCCTTACTCCGTTTCTCCGACGCTCCTCTGTTCTTTTCTGCCGCTTGTACCCCTCCCGGGAAGGAAGCCGGGAGGAGGCAGTTTAGCCCCAAGGACCAGTAAAATTTTCTGCGGCTCTGCGCCGACCCGGCGCCGGCGAATTCTTGCGAAGGACTTCACCGAGGAAACCCAGTGGCTTCCCTGAGCCCGAAATGGGCCCTCGCAGGAGGGGGAGGGGCACGCGGCCTGGCTCTCTGGCCACCAAGGCGATCCTCTCTCTCCGCCTGTCCCCGCCTTCGCAGGTGCGCGGCGGCGGCCGGCCGCATGCCCTGCTTGTGCCCCCTCACTCTCGCCGGCCGTAAAAATAGAAGGACCCGGGAGCGCGCCCAGCTGACGCGAAGCAAACTGCTGGCTTCGCAATCCTCCCTTCGCGGGAGGCGGAAGGCCGGGCATCCCGGAAGAACTGCTCGTCCTTGGGTTTGAAGCTGCTGTCCAGGCTGAGGAGTTGGGTTTCTCCGCCTCCGCGGGGGGGCGGGGGCGGGATCTCTCCAGAGGACACCGAGGAGGAGGAGGAGGAGGAGGAGGACCAGGCGTTTTGCACACCCCAAGAACCTCTGCGGACGTCCGCTGCCCTGGGACACCCAGCTCCAGCTTGAGCCGTCTGCTGCTGCTGCAGCCTCCCCTCCGCCGGCTGCTCCGCACTCGCGGCATCGCTTCCCCTTCCCCAGCCTCAAGCCTCGAAGGGCCTCTTCCCGCTGACCCAACCCATGCGCGGGAAAGTTTCAGGGACAGCCAGCCAGTTCTCTTTCGCACCGGGCAAGAAAGCGGGCTCCTTCAGGTTAGGAGACGGTCCGCGTTTCTGGGCTCTTCGGAGGGCAGGAGGAGAGTCGGGGCAGCGGACTTTTATTGTCCGTTCTTTATAGTTTCTCTCGACCAGAAGGGGTCTGGCGCGCGCGCACCCGCCCTGCTCAGAAGCCCTTCATGCGCATCGAGGCCGCACTCTCCGGCCGCCCAGGGAAAATGCTTGCAGACTCCCGAGGGACACACGGCCTAAGTCAACCCTCCGTCTTCCCGGCCGAAGGAGTCCGGAGCCGATCTCCCGCGTCTGCCTCCTGCTCCGCCGAAGTGTTGCAACGGAGACCTGGGCCCCCTCCAGGAAAGAGGCCGCCGCCCGCCTGGCGCCTACGAAGCGTGGCAGACAAGTGGCATCTCTGGCTTGATCCGCCCTTGGCCTGCCCCAGAGGGAGCCAAGGATCATGCAGATTTCCCGGGCGGCCAGAGCTGGTTTGTAACTCCAGCAAGGACCTCTAGACAATCTGCGGGAGGGAGAGCTTTGGCCCCGTTTCTTTCCTTCCCAGCGTTCTGGTCGCAGACTCTCGGCCCCGGAGGGATGGAGGAACAGAGAGTCAGGCGCCCCCCCCCCCCCGCAGCCTCAAGCGGCATTTCTTGGATGGGTCCCTGCAGAACTTAATCTGGGCCAGCCTGGGGAGCACCACCATCCAAGGAAGAGAAGGCAGCCGGACCCAGCAACCTCAGCCAGCTCCTGTCCTCTGGGGTAGCCAGCTACCCGACCAACTAGGTCGGGATCTGTAGCATGTCCATGCTCCTTCCTGGGAGTCTGGCTTTCTTTCCTAGTGCCAAGATTCTGTGGCCAGATCTGCCACGTTAGCGGGCCCAACCCACCAGCACTGCGAATTTTCAGGGTCACAGCTGAGACCAGGTACTTCCAGAGAGCCTCCTTCACCTCCAAGTGGGACAGCAGTTCTGCTCACCCAAAGGGGTGACGGATTCCCTGATCTGGCTGAGGGCTGAAAGAGAAAGAAACTTTCCCAGCCTCCCGGCTAAGAAAGGGAGCCAAGACTGAGGGAGGCAGTGGGGACCTCACTCAGTCTCTCACTTTGGCCTAAAGTGCATCTTGTGAAGGAACTCAGTCCCCTTCTGGAGGGAGGGAGGGACAGACGAAGAGGGCCAGGAACACCACAGCCAGTCTCCCCAGTGCTGCTTGCTGCAGTGCCGGCTCATGGCAGTTTCGACCTTTGTCCCGGCACCCGAGAGGCTTTCAAGGAGTTGTGTAAGTACTGAACCCCAAACTACTTAACCTGCTATAAAGTGGCGGGTGTGGGGGCGGGAGTCTTTTAGACCCTCCATCCAAAGTAGGAGGTTCAGGTTATTGATCCTAAGTTTCAAAGAGCCTTGCCCCACAGCCAAAGCCACTTCCATTCTCAGCCCCCTTCAGATTCGCTGGCTTTGAATCCATCTGGCCCAGTGGAGAGCGGTTGGGGGAGGGGAAAGGGGAAGGCAACCTTCCCTCCACTTTCACAAGAAGGAGTAACTAGGGAAGAAGGCCCATGGGGTATGTTAGGGTGGGGGAAGAGAGAGGACTTAGACCAGGCGCCCACCCTCCAGGGAAAGAAGCAGAGGTCTGCCTGTGTTGAGAGGCAAGCTCTGCTTTATTTCATCTGACTGTTGGACTTCCTGAGCAGACCCAGGACAAGAAACATTGATTTCCAGCGCAGCACAGTAAATCACTGTCCGTGCAAATGGAGGCCAACTCAATTCTGCAGTTACAAGAAGAGCGATGAAAACTTTTCAGGCTGAGGCTGATGAATCTGAATTGCAGATTTTGCAAAATAAGGACAGAAAGGTTGCATAACCCATCTCAGCTGAGGGCAGGTGTTGGGAACATGACAGAAGGGGGAGGGGTTGCAATCAGCAGGCAGCAAAGTGCAATTCCAAGGAGAAGCAGCAGAGCTAAAGACAGATCAGCACAGTCACAAGCCACCCGGGGAATCACTTGCTCTCACCCCCCCCCCCGGAACATCCTAGGAAAGGAGCCTCATGCCCAGAAGTAAGGGCCAGTTCAGGGACTGCTGAGTGGAGAATCCCAGGAGGGGTCATGGCTGGTGGGGTGGGGAATGGAGGCCTCCAGGGCCCTTCTTGCATTGGGGTTTTAACTAGCAGGCAAGATGTGTGAGCAGAGAAAGCAAAGACCAGTTGGTTGCAGTGGGTCTGGGTGGAAACTCTTCCACTAAGCCCCAAATAGACAACCTTCCTTCCTTCCTTCCTTCCTTCCTTCCTTCCTTCCTTCCTTCCTTCCCCTGCTCCCCTCAACATGCACATACCTCCTGCTTATGCCAGGCAGAAAACCTTCAGGTTTTTTCATGAGAGGGGTGTGAGGGTCAACAGCATTCCTTCCAAACAGTCCAGCGGTGGGTTTGTAAGATGGGGGTGGGGTGCAGTGCTGGCCTGCAAGAGAGACGGCTGCTGACCCCTGGCAGTGAATTCTCCTGGCAGTGGTGAATTGTGCTTGGTATTCAAGGTGGAAAGTGAGAAATGGCAGTTTCTGCTTTGGAGAGGAAATCCTGCTTGGCCTTGGGACACAGTTCCTCTCCCTGCCACAGAGCTGTGAGCCCTCATCAGCTCCTAAGCCATCTGCCTCCACTCAGGCCCCTTCCATGAGCAAAGGAAAAAAACTTTCCCTTTCCCAAGACTTGCCATGAAGGCAGCAGGGGCGGGGGTGGCGGCGGTGGCCTTCTTGCCAGGGACACAAAACAGGGCTTCCTCTGTCCAAATGGAGGAACTGCCCATCTGGGACAGGAATGGAGACTCACCCCAGGCAGCTTTCAGTTTCAGCAAACTCCCTCCCCCCAATAAAAACCCACCACCGGCAGCCAGCCCATGCTGTGCTCTGGCCCAAGAGCCCAGCAGTGAAGAGGGAGAGAGAAAGCACCCCAGTCTTTCTGAAATTTTGGGTGGAGCTCTTTGCTTTAAAGAAAGTCCATGGGAGAAGAGGCCAGGGACAAGGAGGAGCAGGGAGCCAGCCTGGAGGAGAGACTCCCCCCTCTACTTCATGCCTTCCTCCGGGTTCCCTTCCCCATCTGTCTTGCCCTCTTCTTCGGTCTTCTGGTCATCCGTGTTGAGCCTCTGCTGCTTCTTGCGCCGGACACACTTGACAATGACCAAAGCCAGGATCACCACAGCCAGGAAGCCCCCCACAGTGGCCCCCACAATCACGGCCACAGTGGAGTCCCGCTCTGGGGGCTCTGTGGAGAGAAGCCCAGCATCAGGCAAGGAGCAGCACTTGGAATCTACTCCCAGCATCTGCAGGAAAGGCCTCTTGAACCCAGAGGGAGTTTCCCTTTTCCAGAAAACTGGAAAAAGGCCACTCTGGGGAAGAGAAGAGCCCCCTGTGTCCTGGAGTGGGTTTCTGGGGTCTTCCAGGAAGGGGAGCAAGCAAGAAGGGAAAGGTGTGGAACCACAGCCTGACCTTCTGTGAGAACCTGGAGGCTGATCTGGCCGTGGCCCTTGTGTCGGTCAGGCGGGTTCATCACGTAGCAGTTGTACAGCCCTGTATCCTCCAGCTGCACCTTGTGGAGGGTGAAGGACACATCATTCTTGCTGGGGTTTCCCGTAAACTCCACACGATCCTCAAAACGCTTCAGCTCCACAGGAACCACTTTCAGCTTAAACTGCAAGAACTGGAGTGGAGGGTGGGCGAGAGTGGGACAATCAGAAGAATGGCGGGATCTTTGGGAGCACCCCACACTCCAGTCTGGCCTACTGTCTGGAATTCCTGGTGGTGGTGGGCAGGGTGGGAGGGAGGAAAGGCAGGGAGTTTAGGAAACTTGGACAAGGGTCACACAGTCCATGGTCCATTCCCCTGTCCCGCCCACCCACCTAACTGCTGCAAAGCCCAGAGTTTCTGCTGTGGAGGGTGAGGAAACAGAGTTTGCCTGCTAGCCAGATTTTGCCCACTGGCTCCCCTCCTCCTGGCACAGTTGAGAAGCCCAGAGACCTTCACAAGGAGGTGCAAGCAGCATTCAAATGTGGGGCAGAGGGATTGTCCAGCCCCCGGATCCAGATACTCACCATCTCTTCGGTGCAGTTCTGGCAGGTTTGGTAGGTCCAGTTCAGGGAGAACTGCTTTTTGTCTACCTGGTAGCAGGAATTGAAAGTGCAGCTGAGGCGGATGGAAGAGCCGTTCAGAGCATAGACGGGGGTTGGGGCCATCAGCTCCATGCCCAGCGTGTTCAGCACTAGCAGGGAGAGAAGAGGCCTGTTACTCCTGTTTGCACTAAGACAAACTGCAGGGCCTACCAACCAGGGGGGCATTGGAGGGCTCCTTCCAACAGTATAGAAACTGTGGACACCACAGAACTGGCACTATCATATCCGGCTGAGTTGTCTACCTTGGGTGTATATTGTTGCAAACCTTGGAGGGCTCCCAAAGATGCTGGCAGTTACCATCCTTCAGGGGAGAGAGATGCCTTCTCTGTGCTATATGAGCAAGAATGATGGGAACGTCATCCAATGTGCTTTGGGGGGAGGGGGAGTCCTGGGGAAGGCTGGTGTGCTGGGCAATGCAGCCTTTCTTTTCCTCCATCCAGGTGGAGATGAGTTCTCGGCTGTACTCTCCTCCCAAATCCAGAAAGGAACTCAAAGGTCTTTTGGGAGTTGGCCGAAGCCCCTCGAGTGCCCATGACCAAAGCAGCAGAAAGCTACTAATGCAGTTGGAATCATAGGAGCACGTCTCCTCACCCCTGCACTGGGATCAAGTGGTCTCCTGCCTTTGGCTTTGAGGTATTCTGCCCTTTGTAGTCTGCAAGAAGCCCTTAAACCCCAAATTGGCAGCTGCGGGTGGCTGGCATAACCTGAACGCCCTGAGCAAAAGGGACACCAGAGAGAGATAGGACAGCTTTCAGGGGTTCATTCTTGAGGAAGGCAGGAAAAGTCAAAGGGGGCAGCTCCCAAGAACTGAGGGGCAATCCATGATCAGACCAGGGCAAGGGTGGGCTTAGCCACAGGTTCTAGCCATTCAGCCCTGGGGATTCCCGGCAGATGTCCCTGCTCTTCCTTCAATGGGGTCCCACTGCTGGATCTGTAGAGAACTGCTGTGCTTCTTTCATTCACTGCCTAATTTACCAGCACTATACCAGCGCCAGTGCGCATGCTCGCCAAGGACACTGACCAGGATATATTAATAGAGGGAGAGGCCCAGGCTGCACTCAGCAGCAGAGCTGGATTCCGGGGCTCTAGTCTAGGACCAACCTACTCCACAGGGGACAGGATGCAGCTATTGAGGAGTGGGGGGGAGCGTTGTCCAGCTCTGCTTGGCAGATCTAATTGCAGCTGAAGTTGGCACCTCCTTGGCAGCCTTGTGGGAGCACACTAAGAGAGATGTGTTTGGGCCAGCCAGAAGCAGCTGCTGAATCCCCCAGCAGGACAGGTCGCTGAATTCACTCAGGGCAGCGGGGAGTCAGTATTCCCACATGAGTTCCCATCATGTCCGGCCTTTGCTTCAGGCAGAGAAGGGAGGAGGGGTGGGTCTCCCTTCTCGTCCACTACCCAAGCCAGCCTTCCCCCGCTATCTAGGAGGAAGAGCCAAAGCCAGCCTGCAGGAAAGTAACTCTGGGTTGATAGCCCGACCCCAGCCCCTGCGCCCCACTTCTCCAATGACTCCCCCTCCAACCTCCATGCCGGCCAGCCCTTGGGGACGCATGTGGGGAGGGTGACTCGTCATCGAGTGTTCTCTGACCCCCCCCCCACAAACTGTCGGAGTTCGGAAGCCTGCCTCACCCATTCCCCTCCCCCCCATCTCCGCGGCATCCTTACCCAGCGGGAAGAGCAGCAGCAGCTGCAGCGCCGGGCTTGCGGGGCTCATCCTCAAGGGCGGCGGCGCGCGGGGCTCAGCAGCTGGACAGGGCGAAGGTCAAGTGCTCGACCGTCCGTCCGGAGCACTCATCGTCCTTGGGCAGCGGAGGGTTTGGCTCCAAGATGGCCGGCTGGAGGGGCGGCGGCCACTGTTGTTGCCGCCGCTACCACCACTACCAAAAATCGGGGGACAGAAAAATTCTTTGGTTGGTGGATAGCAAGCAGGATTCGGGAGGGCGGGAAAGGGCTGTGGCTAAGAACAAGCGGGCGGGTGGCCCTCGACGCGATTCTCCTGCGGACCGCAGCTTTTCGGGCTCAATTGCTGATTCCAGAAGAGCAGGCGGGAAACGTCGCAGCTCCTGGGGCTGGGGTCAGCGCGTTGGCCGCAGTTTCTTGCAGGGCTTTGGGCTGGAACTGTGTGTGCGAGGGGAGGGGAGTCTTCCCTGAGGGTCAGCGGGAACGTTCCCCTTCGTTGGTCTTCGTCTCAATGGGTTATTCCCCCCTCCCCTCTTCTAGAACCATTGCATATAATCCAAGGATTATACAGTACCGCCCCCCGCCCCCCAAAGTAGCGGCTCCTACGGTTGCCATGGAAAGAATGGTGGGTGTAACTTCTCGCGCACACCGACTGCAAGAGGCAGTCGCAAAAACTCCGTTCCTGGGAGCTCCTTTGCTCAAGAGGCCGTGCAATTTGCACCGCGCTTCCAGTGAAAACCAGCCGCGAGCGCAATTGCTCCTGTTATCAAACTTGAGCGGGTGGAGACGCGAAACAAGAGATTGCAGCGGGCTGTCTGCCCGGACTCCGGCGGGGAGCTACCCCCCGCGCCCCCACCCCTGCACCACGCCGCCCGGGCTGCGCTCTCGGGAGGCCCGGCGGGGGAGGGAGGACGCCCTTCTGCCCCGGGGTCGTTTCTTTTAAGGCGCCGCCGGAGCAGTGGGGTTTCTGCCGCGTCGCTGTCCGTTGTCCTGCAGGAGCCGCTCGGCGTTTTCCTTTCCTCCCTAGACTCCTGCAGGCGTCTGCATAAACGGCATCGGGAGGCCGGACGCAGGGCGAGCCTCCCTCCACCACCACTTCTCAGCGGCGGAGAAAAGTTGATGGCCGAGACTGGAGCCTCCCGGGCTGGAGCCGCCCGAACTTCCTGCTCTGCCTTCAGTTCCGTGCAAGGACGGCCTGGGCTTCTTGCTGGGCTTCCAAAGCTCACGTACTTCCTCTTAGTATCCCAGGAGAAGAGAGCCCGAAGGAGACCCTCTTGGGGTGTGTGGGGGGGGGGGAGAAGTAGCCCAGCCAGTCCGAGTCCTGGTTTACTTTCCTCCAAATCCCAGAGGCAGGGAGCCAACAGCAGCACCGATGCCCTGGATCTTCTCTGAGGTGCTCTACAGGCCTTTGTCAAGAGCAGGTGCTGGTCTGTGGTCTGGGCCATTGAACTTCAAGAGAGACTGGCCAAGTTGGACGGGATCTAGCCCTCCACCACCACTCCTATCCAACAGGACAAGAGAGAATGGTCAACAGATACCCTGGACTGCATCCAGGCTGGAAAGAACACCGATTATTCTTTTCACCCAAGACTTCCTGGAACTGCTGCCCAATCACCTTATCAACAGTTTTCCCTAGAAAGTCGGAGACTGGCCAAAAGTTGTTTCCTATGGGTCAAGTATGGCTTCTTAAGGAGACAGAAATCCAAGGGCCCCTCCAGTCCATCCCCACCCTCATTGTGAAGGGCAGAATCTAATCCCTCCTCCCTTCACTGGCAGTTGCACAAGATGGGAGAGGCAAGGAAGCAGCCCACATATGCTGGAGATCAACACACACATACCCCCCCCCCCAGTTTACAGGTTCAGATAAACCCCAGATCAGTTTGCACCATCACATCATCTCCTTGGAATCCAGAGTGCCAGCATCTGATTCCAAGCAGCTCAACAAGGAATGGGTGTCCTTAAACAAGGCCAGAGACATGCTCAGTCAGTGCCCTGCTGCCATGGCATAGAGCCAACAGTCATGTCCTTGGTTTCCATCAGTCTCCTTCCAGGCCTCTCTCTAGTGTTTCATTGCCTGGAATCCACATGCAGGGAGGGCTGGTCAGAACAAGCTGCCAGGGCTCTCACTGCCTTGGAACAGAAGGTCAAACTGGCATCTCAAGAAACTGCCCACCAGATTGTTGGGACATCTCCAAGTGCCTGCAAAAACCAGGACTAGAAGTCTTGATTCTCTTAAAGGCCAAGTGAATGACAATCATTTCTCACCAAAATAAGAGCCAAGAAGGTAACTGTGGCCACTCACATTGCTAGTGCAATACATTTAGCACACAGTTATTGTCACTGAATGTAAAGACTATTCCAATGGCTCTGAGTAAATTCCAGAACTTCAGCCCCATAGCCACTCTAAGCTTGCGTGGAACTTGCGCGTGTTGGGTGTTCAGAAGTGGCTCCAAAGGGGCCAGGTGTGATTGGCCCTGCTCACTGAGCCAGAGGGAGGCCCCAGCTGGCCTCTCCCTTAAAGGGAAGGAGAAGAGCACTCAGGCTCTTGGTGGTAAACTGGGGAAGACCGTTGTTTTCTTTCATCATCTGCAAGGATTTTTGGCATTTGGCTGGCAGCAGAATCCTGGTCTTTCATCCTTCTGGGCTGGAAGGTTATTCAACCTGCAGCAGCCCCCACCGCAGTCCGGTTAGGTGCTGTCCAAAACCAAAAGCAGGGAAGGCAGGTGTGTGCTTTTCCCAATTCCTCCCCTACTCCCCCCCAAACCAAAAAGACAAAGAATGGATGGAGTTGGCACAAGGCATTTTATTGGTTGTAGAAGGAGTGGTTTTCTGCAAAGGAAAGCGGACCAAGGAAGAAAAGAAAGGGAGGGGGGGTGGATCTGCAGGCGAAGGCCCTAAGGCCAGCATTCCCAAGGATGAGAGTTGGGGACAGCCAGGGAACATTTAGCTCCAGCCGGTTCATATGCATTTCCACGTTAAGGCATAGGAGACTTGGCCCTCTTTCCACAGGAGGCCCAGATCCAGAAAGATAGGGAGGGGCCTTGCAGCCACTGTAGACATGTGCTTGTATCCAGCAATGGCCACACTGAAGCGGCCGACATTTACTGCCTACAGGGGAGACCACGAAGAGCCTGATCATGTGTCTCTAAGTGTCTCTTCACCCTCACCATCTTTTCTTCCGGCTGTGAGCTCAAACTATATGGGTGGTTTCTCAGGACAGAAAGATCCTAGAGAAGAGCTTGAGACAATACTCACATTTCATGAGCCAGAAGCTCATGAAGAAGAAGAAGAAGAAGACACCCAAGAGCCTGGCTGCCAGAGAGACCCTCCGCTGCCCCCTTTTCCAGGCCTATTCACAGGGCAAGAGAAGGCAAGAAAAGAGAAAATATCAAATCAGGATAATTCCTAGAATGGAATGAAATCCAGTCATTTTACTCTAGGTAAAGTTCCATTCGTTGGAGATTTTCTGAGCTGGATCTTGGTGGTGCTGCCAAAGACACGCTTTCTCCCACTGTCAGTGTCAGTACGGTTCCTCCTCATCAGTGTCCTGAACGGGAGGTAAGAAATAGCAGTCAGGAAGGGAGCCGAGGAGACCCGCGTGCCCTTCGCTTGGCTCAGCCATTTGGGCCACAAGTGCTGCTGGCTCAGGCCCAAAGAGGGTGTCTCGGGGGTGAAGATCCCAGCAAGAAAACCACCACTCCCCCCTCTGCAGAGGACATCCCCCCCCCCCAAATAATGCAAGCAACCTGCAGGTCTCTCCTGCCAGCATTCAATTCACACAGCAAAGGCAGGCAAGCAAAGGCAGGCAAGCTCACCCCTCTTGCCAGCAATTGGCATGATGCCCAAGAAATGCCACTCGAACTAAGACCTATTAAGAGTTCGGCCCTGTTTTACACCACTAAAGGGTGGTGTGGCTTTGACTTGCTGATGCTGGCAAACCTTAGACTGAAGCTTTGTATAAGGAGGTCCTCTTTTATTGTTCTGAATCTATCTGAGGGATGCCTCTCACTGATTACAGGTAGTTCTCTACTTACAACAGTTCATTTAGTGGCTGTTGAAAGTTACAGTGGCACTGAAAAAAGTGACTTATGACCATTTTTCACACTTATGACTGTTGTAGCATCCCCATGGTCACTTGATCAAAATCTGAATGCTTGGCAACTGGTTCATATTTATGGCAGTTGTAATAACCTAGGGTCACTGATAATCTTTTGAAACTTTCTGACCAGCAAAGTCAATGGGGAAGCCAGTTTCACTTAATAACCGTGTCACTAACTTAGCAACTGCAGTGATTAATTTAACAACTGTGGCAAGAAACGCCATAAAATGGGGCAAAATTCACTTAAATGTCTCGCTTAGCAACAGAAATTTTGGGCTCAATTGTGGTCGTAAGTCGAGGACTACCTGTAAATCTTCTCATCCCATCAGGTCTGGCAGGTCTCATCGGCTAAGTAGTTTCCTCTTACGGAACTGAGGAGCAGAGCCTTCTCTACTGTGGCACCCGTCCCATGGACCATCATCCCTCTCCCCACTTGTGGCTAGCTCTTTGGGGGGTGGGATTCTCCCACAGGGGATCCTGCATCCTGGCTGCATCATAAGTAACATTCGGATGCATTCCCTCACGATCTTGCTCTTATATTTAAGTGTCCTTTATGAAATATTTCAACTGTTGATTTTATTGTACATGAACTAGAATTAATTTGTGTGAGGAAGGCAGCTATATACATTTGATTGATTAATAAATAATAAATTGATCTTCTATGCTCATCGATAATCTTCACGTAACACCTTAAATGGAACTGGCAATTCTACAATTAAACAAAGACATGGCTAAATGGATTGGATTGTGTTTTCTGACAAGATTAGTCAGTTTCACGTTTTCTGCTTTGTTTGCCCCCTAATCGCTGCCCGCTTTGGAATGTTCTTGTAATGGAAACTAATGTAATGGTACTGGCAACCCAGGGCTGGGAGCCACAGGTGCGGCATACAGTTTACAGCACTCTTTCGAAGTCTCTTCCTCTCCACTCTGTGGAGGGAAGAGGAGGAAAAGAAGGAATCCTTTCTTCCCTGACCCCTTCCTTTTGCCAGTGGGATTTCATTGCTTTCAACGTGTAGAAGAGCAAATAGCTTACTCTCTTGTAACCCCTTCCTTTCCAAACCACAAGGTGGGGGGAAACAGTTCACACACACAGGTTGTGTATTGAACATGATGGAAGTCATATGACAGGGATTCTGTGAAGGTCATTAATGGTCATAAATTGAGTGTAAAGTTATTTTTTTCAGCACCATCACAAGTTTGAACAGTTGCTGAATGAGCAGCTGGTAAACAAGGATTATGTATGATTCTAAGTTACAACATTTGCTGGGAAATGAAGGACTTTTCTCTGTCCACATTTTCTATTCCGCCAATAACTTCACTATCTCCAGCAGGTCTCCCTTCACTCCCAACTACAGAGCCTTGTTGGCATCTCCTATATAACCTCCTATGTATTCTGTTTGAGTCACCTTTTTGAGTTCAGCAACCCTCCAGGGCATTCTGAGGGCAGTCTAGGCACTCTGCAATGAGCAGCCTTCAGTGTCTGCTGGTTCTCAGGGGGGGGGGAGAATAAGAGGGATGCAAGCAGGGATAAGGCTGAACTTCTGCTGCCTTCCCAGTGAGATTCCATAACGTGGGGAAAATGCAAAAGATTTCTCTCTTAAAGGACTTTTGGCTTACCAGGCACTGCATACAACAGCTAACCAGCCGCTCCCTGCAGCCACTTTGCTCAGGTCTATAGAAAAAGGACAGGGAAGAAACCAGCTCAACCACCAGCCCAATCATTTGCCCCTCTGCTCCTACCAAGTGGGCCTCGGAGCCCTTTGAGCATTGGCTTCTCCTTCTCAGCTGCCGCTTGGCCTGGGGTGCAGCAGACGGAGGGCCATCTTTAACTCCCTTAAGAGGGGCTGGGGGCCATCCCAGCCCCTCTTCGAAACCTCCTTTTTCTCTGCCATTCAATCCCTCCCCGCATCGCTCTTACTCTTCAGAGACTTCAATGGAGGACTTCTTGTAACCAAGCTGCCTCCTTGCTTTCATCAGCCCAGATTTCTGATTCATCCGAACCAACAGCAGAACCACCACGATGCCAGAGGGAAGAAAGACCAGGATGGAAAGCAGTCCAGATGAAGTCAACTGGAAGGAGGCACCTTTGGAAACAGCAGGATGCGGCAGGCAGAGCAAAACTCCCTCTGGCCAGCTACTAGAGCAGCCCCTACGTGAGCCTACCAGAGTCCCCCAGGTCCGCCTCCCAGCACAAATGCCCATGATAGGGATTAGCACAGCCCCCTCTGCTACCCAAGGCACCCCAAACTGGAAGACATTCTGCAGGGCAGGCAGAAGGACCCCCGCCCTGAGCCAAGAGGCTCAGACTTTCAGGAAGCAGCTGGCAGTGGCAACCCAGTGCCTGCCGGACACCCCCCCCCCTCCCGTTCCTGTCCTGGGCACTGGGCTCTCTGCTTTACCTCTCTGGCTGACTGTCAGGAGGGTTTGGGGAATGTTGTGCTGCACATCAGGGGGGTTCTTCACAGAACAGGTGAAGGTCCCGTTGTCCTCCAGGGTTGGATTCCAGATCATAATTGAAGCGTCCTGCTTGGCCACATCGCCAGCCCAAGAAACTCTCTCCTGGAAGCTCCCTCTCTTGGCTGGGTAGGCACTGGACTGGTAGTGGAAGACCTGGGGGAGAGGGGGGGAAGGCGTTCCAGAGCAGAAGAGCCAACAGCAGCCAACCCCCCCCACCCCAGGGAGAAGGGGGCACCAGGCTGCGGGACTCCTTTCATCAAGCCACTTCAGGGCCACCAAAGCAGCAGAACCAGGGACCTCCACAGCTCACCGGTTCCAAGTTGCCGCCTGCAAGAGGCCGGTAAGTCCAGTCGATGGTGAGCTTCTCCGTGACTGGAGCGGAGGATTTGAACCAGCACTTGAGGGTCACCGGCTCACCCACAAACGCGCGAACTTGGGCAGCGGCCTGGATCTCCAGCAGGTGGACTCTGGCAACCGCTGCAAGCACAGCCGCAGCGCGGGTCAGTCTCCCGGGCCCGTCGGGAGGGAAAGCAGACCGGCGCGGGAAAAGCGAACACCCGCCCGAAACCTCCTTCCCGGGCCCATCGCCCTCCGGGCCTGGGGGGCAGCCGGGCGGGCCCCTGGCTGAGGCTTCCCCGCGACCCCAGCGACCCTTCCCCAGCTGGCCGTCCTCCCGTCTCCCAGCCCCGCCGTGCGGCAGCCCCGCTCACCCAAGAGGAGCAGAGGCAGCGCGGTCGCTCCGCCGGGCTTCTTCCGCTTCGGCCCCATCTTGCCGGGCCCTGCCTCACCTGCCGGGCCGACCGGCCGGGGAAGCCGGAAGAGGCGGGCCCTGCTCCGAGGAGCTCTGCCAGCGCTGGGGACAGGCGCGTCCCCTTTTGCCGCCGCTGGTCTTAGGAAGCCGGGGGGGGGGCGCTCCCCGGGGAAGATTTGGGGGAAACCGGCAGATCTGGAGCGGATCTGGCCAGAAAGGGGGAAGAGAGCAGGAACCCCATTGGGGAGACCAGACGTCCGGCACCGGTCAAGGCGCTTTGGCCGCCTTTCAACCTTCTCGGGAGGGGAGGGCAGCTGAATAGACTAAAAGAGGCGGGCAGGGCGGGCGAACCTGCCCGAGAGCAATTTTTTTTTTAATTTGATTTATATGCCGCCCTTCTCCGGAGACTCAGGGCGGCTTACAATGCGCTAAGCAATAGCCTTCATACTTTTGTATATTTTATACAAAGTCAGCTTATTGCCCCCACAAACTGGGTCCTCAATTTACCTACCTTAGAAAGGATGGAAGGCTGAGTCAACCTTGAGCCTGGCGAGATTCGAACTTACTTTAATTGCAGACAGCTGGTGTTGAATTACAGTGCCTTGTCTGCAGAGCTATCCAGGCCAGAGCTATTGTTGCCAAAATAGGGGCCTTCCGAATCTGTCTGTGCAGATTAAAGATCAAACACGATGCAAGAAATAGAAATATTACAGCTCTTGAAGGCCACTCGTGGTCTGCATGGTGTATTTGTATTTGCCTTCAGCTTGGTTTGCTGCCTGGGCCCCAGCTTGGCCACCCAGGACTTGCTAAACCTGAACCAAACAACTCCCATTAACATCTCCGGAATGCAACGGCCCAGCCCAGCCATGACTTAACAAGTAATCACCTCACATCACCTGACCAAGAAAGAAGAATTTTAGCATGGAGGTGAAATTGTATTTTTCTTTTTCTTTTATCAATGCGACACCAGTAGCCTCATGTGCAAAAGAGGCTCTGGTAGCCATTGTGGTCCTTCGTCAAGATGATTGGTCTGCAACAGAGTTCTTCTCTGCAAGATGGAGCAGGCTGGGTTTGGCCAGAAGGCCCTTCCCAGCCCCAGCTGCCGTCCCAAAGCCTTGAATGAGGATCAGCCGACTGCGCCCACTGAGATCTTGCTCCAGAGGCCATTGGAGGACAAGGGAGTTTGACCCAGGAGAGGCAATGTGATCACCACACATTCTGCGGGTCTCTTAGGCAGCATTACCCAGTCCTCTCTCCCTCCCTCCCTCCCAACCCAAGACCAGACACTGCCAGAGACTCCACGCTACTTCCCCATGATCTGCTACACCCGCCTCTTAGCTGCCCCCTAAATTCATCTGGGTCTCCCCCTTGCTCCTCCTGGGCCTCTGGGCAGGAACTTCTTTTTGTGCTCCCTCCCAGGATTGTAGTTTGCAGAATCCACACTTCTAGGTCCATCTGACTTTGAGGAGTGTGCAATTGATCTGGATGGGGTGCCATACTACATTCCATTAAGCTAGTCACTTTTAATCCCAGGCAATTGTACCTTTATTATAAAATATTCCATTTGCATACAAAATTTAACAAGACACTTCAAATAAATTAGTGTATGAAAGTGTGTCACCTAAGGATATGAAAGAGTGCCCCATAAGAAATCCATCGGACAGTCCTCTAATATCTGAAGCTTGTGAGTTTTAGAGGTAGCTGTTGGCAGGGTTGCTATAGTGGTGCTGCATAAAAGGGGCTCAATGGTCAGAATTTTTTTTTGTCCAGGGCTCTTAAATCCTCCTGAAGGAGAAAGCAAACCCTGGTTTTAAGGAGGAGATTTATGCTGCCAGCCTGGGCTGGGGGACCATGAAGGAGACAGAATCGCTGCCCCTAGCAGGAACTGGTTCCTCACTCCCTTTCAGAGATCCTCTGCCTGCACAGAATCAGGCAGGGTTCCTGCTACTCCAGGCAGGGCGGGCCACAGAAAAAGGGGCTTGATCCTGTTTGAAGAGAAGGCCCTTTTCAAAGTGGTTGGGGGCTCCCCCTTAGCCATTTGCCTGGGCTTTGGCCCAGGAAAGAGAGCAGAACAGTTGGCAAAGCGGTTCCCCATCCCCTTTCGCCAAGCTTTGCCTGGCCAGTCTGTCTTGACCAGATCTTCTGCTGACCTCAACTAGGTGGCCAGTGCCCTGAGGTCTTCAGTCACCAAGCCAAAGGCAACCCATACTCAAGGTGGGCAGGGGAGGGCTGCTGCTTCAAGCATATGGAGAAGACTGGCTAGGCAGACCTTTGGTGTCACATGGGCAGAAGGTGAGGTTTTGTCTCCTACAGGCCTTCTGTGTGCAGGAGGTCTTCTCCTTCAAGGCCAGGAGCACAAGCATCTTTGCCATCTCCACTCCAGCAGGCCACACCATCCATGGGTGGATCTGGAAGAGAAAAGCACACAAGGAGTTATTGTGGGAGGGGCTCCCGGGGAGGGACTCACCCAGGCCTCCCAACCGGGAGGAAGCCTGAGTGGCCACAAAGGCTAGACTGGCAGGTGTGGCAGCAGCCCCTCCATCCCTGGTCTCTCTTAGAGGGAAGGGAAACTTCAGCCTCCCACCTCCGTCCTGGAGTAGCTGGTAACAGCTCCTGCCCGGTGCCAGTCAAACCCCTCCAGCTCCAGCATCCTTACCAAGACCGACAGGTCCCCTGTCCTGACAGAGGGGTCTCCTTTTCCTCTCCGCCTTCCTTCAGTTTCAATTGCTCTGACCTATTTGAGAAGAGAGGAAGGGCAGCAACTGCAGGTCAGGAGGCAGGAAGATGGGTGGGATGAGATGGGGCAGGAGGTGGGTGGGAAGATGGGGCAGGACAGCTGGGTAGGCCGTTGCTGGCTCAGGTTGCATTCAGGGGTGTTGGTGGGGGATGCTCTGGCTGCCTATTCCTGCTGGGGGGCTGCAAAATCACTGCTGAGTCCAGCCACATCTGCCTTTTACCGCCAAGCCATCCAAGGGAGGCAAGGGGGTCTTTTTGGAGGGGCTCAGCTGTAGGAAGCAGAGGGGAAGATGAACATTGGAACCAGATGTTGCACTGTACATATAAAGCACCCACAGAGTCGATCAATAATTAGCCGCCTCCCTTGTTTGTGACCTGCATCTTCGATACTTCCACCAATTCTTTTTTGTTTTTTATCTTTTTATTGGGGATTGTACCAGAAATATACAATAGAGAATTGAGATATTTGATTGTGAATGTATTAACAGCGGCTAGAATTGTGTTTGCTAAAAATTGGAAAAATTAGAAAATACCAACGCAAGATGAAGTTATCAAGAAAATTATGGAATGTGCTGAAATGAGCAAATTGACATTTGAAATTAGAAAACAAGAAGATAAACAATATTATAAGATATGGGATTTATTTTATCAATGGCTAGATAATAAAACATGGAAATGAAATAGGGATGAGACCAGTATAACGTAAGAATGGTAGAAATATACAAAATATAATGCAAAATTATATGACTAAGAATGTTATAATATAAATATTTGAAAATAATTTTTATGAGAAGAGGGGTAATGTTATAGTTGAATGATTAATGAGGATTATATTACAAAGATACTTATTAGATTGGTAACATGAGAAATTAGATAATTACTAGTACACAAAAGATTTGTAACCGACTGACACACCGTTTGCAATTGTATGGATGATGGATTTATGTTTTATGTTTTGTTTTAAAAAATAAAAAAATTCTCTAAAAAAAAAATAATAATAATAATAATTAGCCACCTCCCTCCTGGCTGTAGGGAGAGGCCATTCAAAGGAACCTCCTGTGTAGTCTCTGATTAGTCCATTTCAGTCTGTTGGGCAGCTTCAACTCAGCCGTTGGCAGGGCTCTCTGGGGTTTCTGGATTCTGCTAGGTGAATTCAGACCATGCCAGCTCCTCCTTAGCGGAGTTCCATTTCCACCCACCTGCACAGTCCTCTGCCTCAAAAGAGTGCCACCCAGGAAGCCAGTCCCACCCTGCAACTCACCTGCCCACCTCCCTTGTCTTGTCTTGCTGCGTCCTTCGCCAATGACGCCAGATCACCACGACCACAACAAGGATGACCATTGCAGCACAGGAAATGCCAATGGTGAGGAACAAAATATGCACCTCTGAGAAGCTCCCTATCCAGAGACAACAGGATGGCAGGTGAGGAGGAGAAACACAAGCGTAGCAATTCCAGACCCCTGCAGCCCACCCGGGCCACTCACTTTTCAGCACAATACTCAGCCGGATCTCGCCAATGTCACCGTCCACATCAGGTGGGTTCTTCACATGGCACTGGAAAGTCCCATTGTCCTTGGGGCTCACATTGTGGAGCATAACTGAAGCGTCGTCTTTGTGTACGTTGCCATCCCAGGTGATTCTGCCTAGGAAGCGGCCTGATTTGGAGGGGTAAGCCTCCAAGTTGTAGTAGAACACCTGAGCATAGCCAAGAGAGCACCAGCGGCGGCGTTAGGCAGCTCCTGGTCCTCGCTTAGCAGCATATCCTGCACCCCAGTCCAGGGGATTTCTCAGACCATTTCTCTCACTGCTTTGTGAAAGGACTCTGGGAAGAGAAGCACCCTGCCCAAGGCTATGACGCAGAACTTGCTGCAGAAGCTTCCCTAGAGCTTCTCTGGAAGAGAGTTTGCCTGGGGCTTGGGGGCATACCAAACCTTCCTCTCAGTGGCAGCTACCTCTGTTTGAGTGGACCGGCAGATGAGACTGGGCCGAGGCTCCAGCATAAGGGCCCTGAATTCCTTCTGGGAATCCTGCCTGCTGAGCCAAATCCTGCCTGAGCCAAGTGCTCTGCCCTTCCCCTTGGCCCGGGGGGGGGGCACTGTCCTTTCTCCCCAGGTGCCTCGGAGCCGAGCCCCCACCCCACCCGCTGACCCTTAGCAGCCTCTCTGCCCCACCGCACCACACCGCAAGGGGACTGAGCATGACTGACCGCCTCCAGGGGCTCCTTCAGCTCTGACTGGAAGTACCAGGAAACCGTCAGCTTCGGCCCCGCTGGGACTGGACTGCGGAAGGTGCACTTCAAGCGCACGTCGGTCCCGTTCAACGCTTCCAGGGTGCCAGAGGTGAACGTTTCCATAGCTGCCACCGGCCCGAGCGCTGCAGGGAGAAGCAGAAGGGGAATGCCGCTGCAGGGGAATGGCCGAAGGCGCCCCGCCGAAGGAAGCGCAGAGCGGCGCCGCTTCCTGGAGGTGGCTGCTGCCCAATGTGCGGCGGGTGAGCCAGCGCGAATTCCGCAGCGGGGAAGGGCGCTGCTGAGCAGGTCGCTGCTCCGACGTGCAGGAACTCGTCGGCTGGGTGACGCCGCCGCCCAGGGCAGCCCCGAGCGTGGCGGCCGGGGTCCGCAACCGCTGCAGGGGACGGCCTACAGGCGGCGACTCCGCGCCTCTGCCTTCCACGGGGTCGGGGTCGGGACCCAGGATCGGGGTCCGCAGAGAGGCGGCCCAGCCGGGGCTTCCACCGCCGCTCCGGCCGGGCAGGCTTGTCTTACCGAGCAGAAAGAAGCCCCAGGCGGCCGCGGGTGCCGGGGGGGCCATGAGCGGGGGCGCCTGCCTCTGTGGGATCCAGCCAGCAGCTCCGCCGAAATGCCTCCCGGAGCTGGAATGAGCCGGGCGCGTCACGCAGGGATTGGGAGCCTCCCACGGGACGCCCGCCCCCCGCCCCCGCCCCCGCCCCCGTCCTCCAGGCCAGGAGCGGTGCTGGGGCCGGGCGCCGCCGTCCTGGAGCTCCCGTGCACCGGAGCGAGGCGAAGACGTCCTCTCCCAGGAGCCGTGGCCCGCGCGCTCTTGCCTCCCCCGGTGCCGGGATTTGCGGAAAGCCCTAGAATTGTTAGGGACCGTCGAAATAAAAGGAGATTCTGGCCAAGATCAAGTGTTGTTTTTATCAGGGCAACCTGATCTACCCAAATATGGGATGGAGCATTCAGCTTCCACTGCTTCCCGCGTTCGAATCCCAGGAGGGTATGGCTAGCTGACAAGAACTAAATAGCTTGAAATAGATCTTTCCTACTCTCCCTTTATTTCTTTGTTGGTAAATATAAATTCTTGCCAAGATTGTCACCACCCGCTAAAGGTAGTGCCAAGCCTGGCCCAGGACATCAGCAACAGCCTCCCCAGGGAAGGGGAACCTGCTGGGCCTTTTCCCAACCTGGTATCTCCACTTAGCATGGGGTGAGTCTGACTGGCCCCAGAGTGGGGTGGGAATGGAGATTTTGCAATATCCTTCCCCCAGGAGTGGGGAGGGAATGGGGATTTTGCAGTATCCTTCCCCTGCCATGCCCACCAAGCCCACCAAGCCATGCCCACAGAACTGGTAGTAAAAATATTTGAATTTCACTACTGGGTGAGAGGCCTAGAGGGAACCACCATCCCTTCAGTCTTTTTGCTAGAATTAACACTTAACAGCCAGTGAATTAACTGCCCAAGAGCCACCATTCTGCTCTCTCTTTCCCCCACCTAACATTCTCTCTCTCTCTCTCTCTCTCCCTTCCTCCCTCCCTCTTTCCCTGCCGATCTAACTGGACGTCTTACAATGCAATGTAATGCTATTCATTGTTTTTGACCAGTCCACCCTCAATGTAAAGAATTCTTGTTCCTTATCAGGAAAGAGGAGGAGGAGGAGGAGTCAGTCATCCAAACCACCCCTTGAATAAGAACAGCAGTAGTAGAGAACCTGTCCTCTCACCCTGGGGGCTCCAGGAGGGAGCCCAGCATAGCAGACCCAAAGGGCAGCCCTAGGGGACAGTCCCTGGGCCCCCAGACCCAGCTGGCTGGGTGCATCCCTTTGCAACATCAAGGCCAGCTACAGCCTATTATTCCTTTCCACAGAAAAATAACATTGATTGGTTTATAATTTCGTTTCATTTATACTGTCCCAGTCCTGGGGACACTTGACACAGAGCAACATAAAACACAGAATAAAAATAACAAAACAAGAGTGTACAATTCAAAATATAAACTGTCATGGAAAATTGCTGAAGGAGCACACCACTAGGGAGAAGAACTGTGTTTATTGCAAGGACTGTTGAGTGTCTGCATTAGAAGAAAAAGGGGCCCCAAACTACGGGAAAGCCAAGATGTTTATAGAAGTTAGAGCTACAAGGCAGGAAGACTTCGGAATCTGATTGGCTGGCCACTTGGGCTACGTGGCTGGGTCAGTCTTGTCCTTAGGCCAAGGGAGCCTTTCTGGTGGCCACAGGAGCTGGAAAGCCACTTGTGAAGGAGAAGGTTGGGGTTCTTCACCCAGTTGGTTTAAGACCGGCTTGTGGAGGGCCTTGTCTGGGACTGGGTGTATGCGTCAATTTGAGTCTGAATGAATTGGGCAGAGAGAGGACGGTGTGGGGATTTTGTTTGCTGGGTTTATTTTCGGCACTACACCTCTGGCACCTCCAGATGACAATCTGAACATTAAAGTATCTCTTAAACAGCTCCCCCCTTCTCCCCACCTCCATCTTCCTAAGAAGCAGTTATTGTGACTGGTGAGGCTACAGGAGCTGACTGCACATGCTCAGAAGTCTCTCTCTTGACCTGAAAAGAGGAGCTTAAGTTTGGCCAGCATCTGATGCCATCAGGCTGAGCTCAGGCCGATGCCGACCCAAAACGCAGCAGAGGAGGGGCTCCAGCCAAGGCCTGGCAGGACCAGGTGGTAATCCCAGGGAGGCACCATAGTGCCTGAAATTAAAACCTTGGCTCTGCTGTGCCTGCTTGCCATAGAGCATCTCTGCCACACCTGCTGGAGTGGCAACTGTGGTAGAGGAGTGGATGTTGGTCAGGGAGGGGTTGACAGCTGTGATGACCAGAGGAACTCAAACTGGGGGCTCCCAAAAATATCAACCAATTTTCTTGCCAGCCAGATGTTTGGAAGGAGTTTGCCTTCGCTTTCTTCCATCACAAATGTTAGATCATGGTCCAGCCTTCTCCCTTGGATTGACTGCTGAGCCCCCACTGAAGCACCAGCTGGGTCAACCTGCTCCAGTTCCCAGTAGGGCCTCTAGTGGCCCAGAGGCTGTTTCCTGCAGAGAAATCTGGCTGTAGTTAAGGGCTAGAGTGTGGGGGTGGGGAATTGAAGAGGTAGATGGGGTGAGTGAGGGCCTTTTAGGCCCACAGCCTGTGACTGCCTCTTCCATATTGCTGGAAGAGCCCCCTCCCTCCCCGAGTCCCCAATTGAAATCTCCTGCAGGGGGTGCGGCTGAGCGGCCCCAGCTCCATCCGTGCCTTCACTGAGCTTCAGCGGCTCGCTCCTCCTGCTTTGCTAGAGCTCCCACTTCCTGGCAAGGCTGGGGCCACGGAGGGTTTCTTTCTCTTTCTTTACTGATTGCTCAGCTCTGTTCTCGAAGCCCTCCTGAAGAGAGACGCAGCAGGTTCGCCTGGGAGACCCCTCAAAGTACCAACAGGGAAGCAACGGATGGAGGGCAGGAAGATGCCTCTGGGGCTCCATTTGGGCGCCTGGCTGCTCCTCCTGTTCCGCACAGGTGAGTGCCGCTTCTCCAAGGAGGGCTGGCCTGGGGCCCCCTCTGGGCTTCTGCTTGTTCCAGCAGTCAGACTGCCTGGCTTCTGGCCCTGCGGGTCAAGGTCCCCTGGGGGCCCAGCCACATGGTGTGAAGGGAGGCAGCCGCCCTACGGCTGCCTTTCCCAAAACTTCAGGCCTGACGCCACCAAGGATGCCTGTCTCCACTTCCAGGCAACAGATTGATTTCAATGACCAGATCCTCTAGAAGAGATTTCTTGCAGTTAATTGGTGATGTGTTGGGCAAAGGAGAACTTTTCCTAGATATTACAAATCATTTCCCATCTAAATGTTTTCCACCCAAATTTTGTTTAACAGACCGGGTGGTCAATCATTTTCTCCCCTCCCCCAATGCAGGTAATCCTCAATTTACAGCCACAATTAGGACTAGAACTTTTGTTGCTAAGCAAAGCAGTCACTAAGTGACCCACGTTGAATTTTATGACTTTTTTGGCTGCAGTTGTGAAACAAATCATGCAATTGTTAGTTAAGCAAATCCAGCTTCCCCCATTGACTTTACCTGTTGAAGCCCTCTGCGAAAGTTTCAAATGACAATCATGTAACTGTGGGGATGCTGTTGGGTTCACGTGTGGGGACTGGTTGTAAATAACTTTTTTCAGCCAGCCCTGTCATAACTTCAAACAGTTGTTAAACAAATGGTTGTAACTCAAAGACTACCTGAAATCTCAGGGTGCTTGGGGCAGATTCCAGGGTGCTGTGTGCTAGAAGGCTGAGTTGTGGAGGAGAGGGTCTGCTGATCAGGTTGAATCGCTTGAGTGGGGGGGGGAGCCTCTCTCTTTCCAGCTAAGGGGGTCCCTTTCCTCCGAAGAGCCCTGGTCAATATATCAAAGGAAGGGAAGCAAAAGTCCCCTTGAGCAGGAGGAGGATGGGGAGAAGGAGCACCGGGGTGTGTGTGTCTCTCGCTGCGTTATGGAGTGGAGTCAGTGGAGTTGAGTCTCCTCTTCAAAAAAAGGTCCACAGGTTCTCTTTTAAACATGGGTGACCTAGTTTGGCATAGGAGCCATCTGACCCTGCAAAGGAAGCTTCTGGAAGATTCCATGATGTAAACACAAGAGGCCTTGTGATCTCTCTGTCTTCGGTGCAAGGCAAGAAAATCAACACCTACACGTTTTCCGCTGCCTTTTCCTGGGTATGGCTGCTGTAGTGACCACGAGGAGCTCCAGAAAGCTTTTCAGAATATTTGCCACGTCTCTGATTTGGGGGCCGATTGGATGGAGCAGCCCCTCCATTTCAGGGGCTCTGGGGAGAGCAACCTGGTCCACAGCTTGGTCTCCAGCTTTGCTCAGGCTTCATAAAATAAATGGTTTTTAAGGTGCTGAAGGGAGCAGCTTTATTCTGGACACCATGGCAGTTATGTGCTGGTGAGAAAGTCTTAACCATTTTTTTCCCCTTCTTTTCACAGCCAGGCTTGTGGAGGGAGAGGTGAAAGGTAAGGAATGGAGGGAGGGGCCTTTAGGACTTTGGGTTATGGCTGGAAACAAGTCAAAAAGGGAGCTGTTGTCCATGCAGCCATCAGGAACTGACCCTGGCACCTTTGCCCCAAACCAAGAGCCTTGGTAGTACAGTGGTCTAAAGCACCCTGTTATTAAGACCAGCTGCCTGCAATTACTGCAGGTTCGAATCTTGCCAGGCTCAAGGTTGACTCAGCCTTCCATCCTTTCTAAGGGAGGTGAAATGAGGACCCAGTTTGTGGGGGCAATAAGCTGACTTTGTATAAATATACAAAAGGATGAAGGCTATTGCTTAGCGCATTGTAAGCTGCCCTGAGTCTCCGGAGAAGGGCGGCATATAAATCAAATTAAAAAACAAAACAAAAACCCAGCTGTGGTGCATTTACCTGGGTGGGTTTGTGAGTGTTGGCTGAAAAGAGGAGGCTTCTTTGCCACCAGGATTAAGAAAATGGGAGGCTCCAATCAGGCCCAGCTTCTGTCCTGGCTCCCCCAGGGGTGGGGGTGGGGGGCATGTCACTCTTTTGAATGAAAATGGATGCCGTTGGCAACATGCGGCATAGGCGGTATGTTCCACATCATTTCCTCTGAAGAAACTCGGCTTAACGAAAATCCAGGAAAGCATTTGGAGATGGTTGCAGAGTAAGAATAGCAACATCTGTTCAAAGGTAAACTACTGTAAATTATCATTTAAAACTGCCAGCGACTTAACACCTGTGGCAAAGCAGGCCTGCTTCCTGTAAGCATACCGGTCCTCTCCCCAAACATGCACGTGGGGCAAAGAAAAAAGCCACAAAGTCTGTACTGGGAAGAAGGGAGAGAGATGTTCCCCTGGAGGGAGTGGGGCTGTGGGGCGCGATCTCATAGTCTCTCCCAGGAGTCACTTGGCAAAAAGGCAGCCACACTGCTCTTCCCGGTGAGATCCTGCTGGATTATTCGCCAGTGTTTGTGCCCAGGGCTGCCAGGCAGATTCTTTCTCACTTGCCATAGAAATCAAGGTGAAAATCGCTTCGGAGAACGTGTTTCTCATATGCCCGGAAGAGAAATCCCAGTGGTGGGACACTAATTCCCAACTAGGAAACAAGAGCACCCTGGACATCTCTGGCCCAGATAATCTGCTTGAGATCGAAAGGGGGAAAGAATTTTCCTGTGGACAAAATAGCAAATCCTGGAAGATTTATCTGAAGATCAAAGGTCAGTCAGGGCTACGGTGTGATGGGGCCTCTCTGCCCTTGATGGGGAAGGGGGGGGCTGGGAGGCTGCTCCGCAGTGTGAGCTGCCTGGTGGACAATCCCACCCCACACCTCTAGCCCCAGGCAGCCAGAGCAGAGAAGACCCTTCCTCCAAAGCCAGCCTGGTAGAGCTCCTTGTTCAGCTGAGGCTTCTGGGTTTCCTGCAGGGTGCAAGGACTGTGTGGAGCTGAGCTTCGGCCTCGGGGCTGGCATCATTGTGGCTGACCTCCTGCTCACCCTGGGAGTCCTGCTCCTCGTCTACTTCTGCAGCCAGAAGCAGCAGGCCCTCTTCAAGCCAGGTGCCCCACGGCGGCTACAAGGTTAGTGCCTCTCCCCACTCCCCTTCCGCAGTGGAGAAGGGCTCCAAGGAGGCTGACAGCAACAACAGGGACAGATGATTTTGCAAGTCCAGGCAATCACTGCAGGAAAAAAGGACAGTGTGTGTGTGTGTGTGTGTATGTGTGAGTGTGTGTCCATCAAGCAGTGAAGTGCTGAGTCAGAGAATGGTAGAGGCAACGAACTTTGCACTTTGCTTTTTGCTCCAGGACAGCAAGCAGACCACCCCCCGCCTGTCCCAAATCCAGATTATGAGGTAAGGCCTGAACTGAATATGGAGGGTGGGGGGAAGAGTTAACTCTGTGCAGTATTGGAGGCCGAGGGCCAGAGCTGCAGAGAGAAGACAGGCATGCAGCAGAGGGTAGCTGGGGCCCACAGCCCCTAACCCACCCACCCCACTTCTCTGCTAAGGTCTGTTTCCTGAAGTGAGGATCCAGATTTAGTGAATTTCATCAGTGTTGGCTTTTACAAAGGGAACAGACAGTGCCTCAAAATGACTTTTCCCCTACTTTGGTACTGGCAGGGTGGAGCAAAAATTCAACTGGGAGATTTAGTTCAAAGATGATTTGAGTGAATCTCTGAATCAATTTGCTTTTCTGAATTAATTTTTTAAAATTAATAGCCAAATTGGAAGCTACATTGTGAATTTTTTTACTAATCGGTTTAGAAAATGTAACATTCCAGCCTCATCCCACACATCTTCTTTGAGATTCCCCCAAATAAAAAAGGAATCTAACATGGCTTTAAACTCTATTGCATATAGAAGCCAGCTTCCGGATATGTATTACACAAACAACTGTGAAAACAATCAAAAGCTTTTGAGAGAGAAGAGCATCAGAATCAAGAGTCTGTATCACATACAGCCGAGTGGTCCTCACTTTGCTAATGCCCCTCTTAAACACACATAGCCAGTGTCCTAGAAAGTAGGACCAGGTTTGCCAAAAACATGTTCTGTTCCTACAGCCGATCCGGAAGGGCCAACGGGAGGTGTATGCTGGTCTGGAGCCCCAGGCTTTCTGAGATGCTGCCTCACTTGCCATGGCAAGATGCCAAATGTTCTGGCTGGCCGCGAGAGTCCCCAGAAGTGCCTGCCACTTTCTTCTCCTGTTTGCACTAACCGCTGACCTTCCTGGTGGGGGAACTCCATTTGTGCTGAGTTTTGCAGCTAGAAAATCAGGTGGCTTGGAGAGCTGCATCCCAGGTGGAGCAGAGAGCTACAGGATGCCCAGAGGGCTTCTCAGACTGCAGGTCTCACCTAGGCAAGAAAGGGGCACCATAGACGCCTCTTCTCTCGGGTGGGGTCACTCAGCCACAGCACTGCTGCCCCAAGTGCACGCAAACTCCGCAGCTCCCGTCTCGTCTCCTGGGCAGAGTCTGCTGTTCTGGCTGGGGTGCCCAGGAAGTGTCCACTAGAGCACCTGAGATGGCATGCCCAGTTGGTCAATTTGTGCTTCAGGAGTCTTAAGCCCACTTGCCCTGGCAGGGAACCCCATGATGAAAAGAAGGCCTGCTTTTACATTTGTTTTGATTGTGCTTGCAAAGAATCCTAATAAAGCTCCGTTCCATTCACCCCAGAGACCCTCTTGTGTCTTTCTTCTCTGATATGGGTATTACTGGAAGCAGACTTGGGGGGAGACCTTGGGGAAGGAGGGGGCAGAGCGAAAAGAGGAGGTGCAGGGGTGAGACATTAAAGCCCAGATCTTCTCTGCTTTCCCACCCACCAGCAGTGCCCCAGTAGGAGGAGAGGCAAAACCAAGGTGGAAGGAGAGGAGTCAAGGTCAGATAGTACCACCATAGCCCTAAGATTGACCTGGGCTTGGCCCACCCTTCCCGCTTTGAGAACCAGCCAAATGAACCCTTTGCTGGTAATGAGAGGCAGCATCACTAAGGCTTCAGCTGCATAAGGAGGTCCATCAGCACAAAATCTGGCAGTTGCAGTGGGGAGGAAAAGCTGGGGCCTCAAGTCGAAACAGCCACCCCCAGTGGATGTGTTCATTCCACAGGATGTGGTCAAAAGCAAACACAGCTGCATTTCAAGAAAGGCAAAACCACCACCCGGTGCAAAAGCGACACTCTGCTGCCCTATGAATCACCACCCAGTGGTGGCTACACACTTGTGCAAATGGCTGACTCCATGAAATTTGCACTCCCACTTCATTGCAGCCCTTGGATTCATGAACCATGTTAGTAACCTCTGTACTACAGAGCCTGTAGTACAGTGGACTAAAGCACTGTTATTAACAACTGCTGCTTGCAATTACTGCAAGTTCAAATCTCACCAGGCTCAAGGTTGACTCAGCCTTCCATCCTTTCTAAGGGAGGTGAAATGAGGACCCAGATTGTGGGGGCAATAAGCTGACTTTGTATAAATATACAAAAGTATGAAGGCTATTGCTTAACACATTGTAAGCCGCCCTGAGTCTCCGGAGAAGGGCGGCATATAAATTAAAGCCAAAAAAAAAAAGAGAGAGAGAGGAAGTTGTAAGCAACATCTTTTATTGGGGAAGAGGCAGGATGCACAGGGTAGCAACACCAGTTTCAGCTGCAAAGGGGAGATTGGAAGATGAACCGGTCTACTTGTATTGCTGAGAAGAGATACTTTTAAGGATTCTGATTGGCCACCACATTCCCAGCATTGCACCGAGTGCATTCATCAAACAAGTTTAAAGCAGCTGCCCCTCCCACCCCCCCAAAGCCCACACTCTTCAGTTTAACAAACAGAAAATGGAATCCAGCAGCTCTGACAGCTCTAGCAGGCCTTGTTGGCTCTCCCAGGCTTGAGGCCCTGGAGTAGAAGGCAGGCACAGGCGGAGGGCCCCACAATTCCCCACCTCAGCTGACATAATGGGCGTCCCTCAGGGATTGAGCACAGGAAGGGGAACCTGAATGTGGATGGAGATTGGCTTCATCGGCGGCGAGGCTTGGCAATGCCAATGTGGCTGTATGGCCTGTCGTTGCGCTCCTGGAGAGGCTGGAAGGAAGAACACCAACCCCTAGGGCCTCAGTGCCATGGCCCCAGGATGGCAAATTGCACCCCTGAAATGCATTTCACTCTTAGCCAGAATTGTTAACCATGGATTTTTTAACATCACTGTCATCAGCCACACTAGATCCTCAAGTAAAATCCAGAATTTGTCCAGCAGGCAAAACCAAGCTGTGACTGGAGCTTGTGGTTCAGGGTGTTGCCAAACATCTTAATAGGTCTGGAAGAGGACAGGTTTGGCGGAGTCTGCTGTCCCTGGGGCAGCCTTCCCTGCCCGGGGATCCTCTGTGGGGTTGGGATTCTGGAGATGACTGAGAGGTTTGCAGACCCTTTGTCAAAGCCATCCCATCAGTGACTATGAGAGCAGCTAGTTTTACTTAACGATTGGGCACAGATGTGCTCATACCTGGATCTAGCTCTGTCCCACCTCTACTCTGCTAGGATATACAGATGGCCTAATATTCACACAATCTTCTAGTAGGTCTCCCACTTTCTGTGGGATGAACTGGCCGGTCTCTGATCTGACACAGAAAGGAAAATCAAAAGGAAACTCTCACCTGGTACAGCTGGTCGTTGGCCAACAGGCACTGCTTATCAGAAGCTGCAGGATCAAAATAGGAAGACTGAGTCCACAGGGAACAAACCAAGAGCCCAAGAGAATGGGGGGAGGGGGGGAGGCAGGCAAGAAACAAGGGGGAGGGCACCTGAACTGTAAATAAGATGGTTTTTCCTTCTGGAGAAAACCACCAGTCACCCAGCTGCCCTTTCCTGCCACCTCCTCACCTTGGGCTGGCCGGCCCCGTTCTTCCACGGCTATGTGGTACACAGCGATAGCCAGGAAGACTGTGGTAATGAGGCTGGCTGCTGAAATCCCCAGAATCGTTGTGAAGTCTAGATGGATGCAGTTCTGGCACACTGTAGTGAAAGAAAACGTTGGATACATTCTGCACTCCCCCACATATCCACATGGAGTCCACATAGACCTCACTTAAGCAGAGCAGGTGTCCTTTTATGGCAGAACTGCCACAAACAGCCCTCACCCATCACAGGCCATTGCCAGGTCACTGGGTAGAGAAAGGGAGGCCCAGCTGCAGTCCCTGATCTGCCCATCCCAGGGGCCGTCCCAGGCTTTCACAGGGCTTGGCAGAAGGATTACCTGCGTCCTGGGAAAGAGCAGCCTGGTAAGAGAGCCCAGAAATGCCGAACCTGAGCAGAGTGGAGCATTTCATCTCCAGAAACATTTCATCGCAGAGACACTGAATGTAAGTCACAGAGGTGGTGATTTGAGTTTACCTTCAGAAAAATTACACCACTTTTTTTCTAATATCTAAGAATAGACAAGCAACATCTTGAGGAAAAAGCTTGGTTCCATAGAAAGAGGACTAACTTCATTTAATCAACTAAGAAGCAAACTCTTTGACACCTCACCAAACAAACGAAGCTCCTTTTGAAGTAAGGAGGCAAATAGTGGCCAATTTACCAGGCTGAGGACAGACTGCCGATTCTTTTGTATACATTTGTCAATCAAGCTGCCCCCCCCTCCCCCATCCTTCTTGTTTTGCTCAAGACTGTCTCGGGGTAGGAAACGGAACTAAAACATTCCTTTCACCTGAACTGTCCCAGCTTCAAAGGGCAGGCTTATTTCAGAAAACCCTGGTGTCTGCCTCGCTGAGACTAGATGACTGCCAATGTTGTTAAATAAGGGGGAGAAAGAAGGCTTACTCACTCCGGATGAAAACTTGCAGGGGTCTGCTTTCCTCATTACTGTTGATACACACATAGATGCCTCTGGGATCGTCCATCACAGCCAAAACCAACTCCTTCCCTTGGTAGGTTAGATTCATCCCGTCTTTTAACCAGCGTGTCTCATTATTGCCCACTTTACATACCAGGGAGACCTTTTTTCCTTTCTGCTCTATGGTGACGATCTCTGCAAAACAAATGGGATGAGGTGGGGCAGAGGTCCCACAAAGCCTCACCAGTACCGCCAAAGTTTCAGGGGCCAAACAAATTAGGTAACAAGTATTTTAGCAAGACACAGGGTCATTTATGCTCTTCAGGCCACTGGTATTCCTTCAGCAAAAGTATCATTGGCTTAATCATTGGTTAAGGGAAACAAGCCTTTGTGCTTATTTCTAGTTATGGGCCAGCAGTTGCTGCTGTGCAAGGGTCTGCTTCTGTTTTTCTCTATCCATCTTCCAGGCATCAGCGGGGGTGGGGGTCTGCTGAAAATGTACCGGGCCTCTGCAAAGCCAGGAACTGCTATCAGCCCCTGGGACCAAGTCTTTGCAACTGTTTCTCTCTCACGCTGCCTATCCGCTTTGCTTGTCTTGGGGATCTTGCCTTCCTCCTGTAACATGTTTGCTCAGCTGATAGTCCTGCTGAGTAGCTGCTGAGACTTCCTCCCAAATCTACCTGGTAGCCTTGAATTGTTTAAGGCCCTTCGCCCTCCCATCCAGAAATGACTCTTGATGAGCTTCTAGCCAGCCCTTTCTTTCCAAATATTCTTTTGGAAACAAGCTTTTTCCAAACACTCAGGATCTGGAAAATTCAGAAGCCAGCCCCAAATGAAGAGAGCGCCAAAATTTAAGCACACCAAGAGTCACTGACTGGGCTTCTGCATCACAGTCTATACACATTGTGGAAACCCAGCAAATTATGGCATAGTCAGTAAAGCATGGCCACATAACCTATGGCTGGCCCCAGACATACTGTATAAATCTATCTTATTTAAATTCCTCCCGAGCTGCCTCCCTAGTTTTCGTTCTTTTAGAAAACCTGGATAAAGCATACCATTTTCAGATGCGGTATTTCCACTTATGCTGATGCCTGAAAGAAAATAATTTCATGTTGAGAAACACGGAGCAAAATAAACTGGGACCAAGAAATGCCAATAATACCACACACCAGACCTCCACCCAGTTGTCCAAACAACATCAAACAGTTGAACGTATGCTATGCAGATGCAGTGAAAAGCCTGAACTCCATGCCAAATGCCACCCAGGGAGGGAGTAGCAAACGCTAATGGAGGACTGATCAGCCTTCGGCTGAAAGGATGACGTTGACCTGAACAAGGAAACATTTCTGTGACTTCTTAATTTCAGAAAAAGGCAGCTAAGGAGTATCATGACTGAGGTTTTTAATATTAGGCTAAGTCTGAGGAAAATGGACAGCAAGAAGTTTTTTCTCCCAAAATGCTAGCTGTTCAGGACAGGCACATAATATTTCCTCACCTACCACAGGCTGGGGAGACAGGACTGCTCAGAGATCTTTTGGCCCTGGAATCTGGCAGCCACCCAAAAGGCCACATCTCCATCATTGCCTCTTCAATGGGCTGAATTTACATTTGCATTCAGCCTTTCCTCCAAAAGCTTGCAACATAAATGCCCCATTCCTCATTTATGAACTTGGTGAGACAGAGGGAAGTGGCTGGCTACACCGGTTCAGCCTGGCTGCCTCCAGCTGTAGGCCAGGTGTGAAGAGGACATGGGTCTGCTGTTTTCAGATGAGGGGGGGAGCAGATGCTCTGAATCACAAGCACAGCTAAGTGCAAGCAACACATGATAACGAACTGGCAGTCTGGTCTTTATGCCTTATCACTATACCTGTTTTTTTCTATCTTTTGCAGCCTGCATACCCTCATCCCCCCTCCCAGCCCTGAGTTCACAAACTGCCACCTTCTCAAACTGCCTGCCTTGGATTTAGTCCTACCTTGGAAGAACAGGGCAAGGACAGTTGCCCACAGCAACTGTTCCTGGCTTCCCATGCTTGTCGATGGGAGAGCCAGATATGTTGTTTCCCGTTTTTGTCAGCACAGGTAGCAGGTGACTGTCTTCTGACAAGTGAGAAAATGACTGGGCAAGAAGATGTAGGGAAGATTTTTGCAGGCAGTCTGCAACAGGAAGTCTGTGGGTGGGGGCTCTTCTGTTCCGTGTATGTGTGCACGCGCGCACATTTACACATAAGGAAATGAAAGGACAAAAGATGCTGCAGGAAAACCACTCTGCTGAAAAATGAAGCTGATTTCCTTCCCCTTTGCAGAACTGAATGGCAAATAGAGCCCCCTGCCCCAGCAACAGCTCTCCACTAAGCCACCCCACGCACAAACCACCAGGAGGGGCACCTCCTCCCTTTTGGCCAAGCCTGTTGGGCAGGCCACTTAGACCGAACCGGCGGCTCAACCCAGCCGGGCCACCCCTCAGCTACTGCTGGTGCACAACAAGACCTGCACTCAGCCTCCAACTGTCGATCAAGACCAGCGTTTCTCAACCTTGGCCATCTTAAGGTGTGTGAACTTAGACTCCCAGGGCTGCCCAGCCTGCCATACCGGACGAGGAATCCTGGCAGCCGAAGTCCACACACCTTACACCGTTACCAAGGTCAGACGGGTCGCCTGGCCGTGAAGCTCGAGCTGGAAGGGCGGCCGAGCCCCCTTGGAGCCTCTGGGTCGGGGCGCCGGGAAGCCTCCAGCCCTCCCTTTGTTCGAGCGCCCGCCTGGGATCGGCGCGCGGGGATAAAGGAGGGGCCTGGCGGGAGGCAGCGCCTTTCTCGCTGCTGCTGCATCGCGTTACCGGCTGGCACTCAAGTCGCTGCCCGCCCGCCCCTCCCCCTCCCGCCCGCGCCTGGGACCTGGACGCCTCCGTAGGGCGAGGGTAACGCAGGCGCCGGCAGCTCCCTCTAGCGGCTCTATGGGCGGCCGGGCTACGGCGCGCTTCCGGCGCTTTCTGATGACGTCGGGCGCGGCCTGCGGGCGTCGCGCGTTGCCAAGCTCATCGCTGAAAGGTGGCGCGGCCGCTCAGCTGGAGCGCCTCGGCCTCGGCCTCGCCTTCCTCCTGCTGCTCGTCGCCCCCGTTCTGCTCCCGGGCGCCCGGGGCTGCGGGCCGTCGCTCGTCGTCTGGGTCGCGGCTCTCCATGGAGCTCGCCCGGCGGGGAAATGACCGACCACGAGAACAATAACAGCATCTCCCGGAACCCCTTCGCCGCCCTCTTCAGCTCCGTCGCCGACGCCCGGCACTTCGCCGAGATCCAGAAGCAGCCGCCGACGCCGACGCCACCCGCGGGTGAGCGAGGAGGCCGGGCGGCTGGAAGGGAGCGGGCTGGAGAGGGACGAAGGCAGAGCCGGATAGAGCGCCCGGATCGGCCGCCTCTCTCGAACCCTGTGCCCGCGGGCTCCAAACGCGCAAAGGAATCTTTGCACATCCTCTTTTGCTTCACCCTTTCCTTTGCTTTATTTTCTGCACCTGTAAATGTAGTTGCGTTCGGGGTTACCGCGAAATCATTGTTTATTCGTTGTTCATCCAAAATCCCTTTCCAATTCAGTCACTGGTAGCTCAGCCTCGGTCCATCTACCTGCAAAGTTAGACAATTTGGTTGAAATGTTAGCCCAATTATAGGACAGTTAGCAACAGAATTGAAAAAGAAATGCAAGCACTTAGCGGACTACGTCATTGGATTGATACTAAAGACGTGAATTAGACTAGCATTACCTGGCAGGTATTAAAATCCTGAGAGCTAACTTTTTACTAGTTTAATTCCAGATTCTCAGATGGCAAATCAATAAAAAAGCAGAATGGTTGGGTAAGAGCAGCTGTTTAGGTGGCCTCTTGACTCCTTGCTTTTCAGAAGTCCTGAGATTCTTCTGGGATTCTCAGGAGACGAAAGTCTTGTGTATAGGCTGCATTTTTTTCATGGGAAGCAACTATGTTTTTATGATATATACTTTTTTTACTTGCTGTGTAAAAAAAAAAGGCCCTTAAGGCGAGGCTTCTGGTGCTGTGACAGCCCAGATGAGAGGCCCAGGCCTTAGAGAGACTGCTCAGATTGAGGGGAGGGGGCGGCAATTGGAGCCCAGGTATGCTGCTTGTTGACTAGCTCTGCTTCTCTAGTAGAGGAAACCTCTGCCAGCCAAGATGATTCTGACAACAGTGTGTCTGAGAGTCTGGATGATTGCGACTACTCTGTGGCTGAGATCAGTCGCTCCTTTCGCTCCCAGCAGGAGCTCTGCGAGCAGCTCAACATCAACCACATGATCCAGAGAATCTTCCTGATCACATTGGATAACAGTGAGTTTGGAGGCATAAATGGCCAGAATCCAGGCTGGGTTGTATTAAGGTGGAGGGGAGCCACCAGGTGGCAGTTTTTGATCCATGAATGCAAATTCAGGCTCTTCTCCTGGAGAACAATTGTTGATATGCTGACGCCCCAAAGGCAACAAAATCTGTTTGCCAAAAAAATTATGTAAACATTCTCCTGGCAAAAACAAATATGCATATAGAATGGAAATCTTGTTCTCCATTGTGCAAGCAGTTAAGGGGACCTTCCATTGAATGCAAGGCCAGATTTACTGATGTGGATTTCTGTATCTTTATGGGCTGGTCACCTGAAAATTCCAAACACTGACCTGGTGGTATTTCTTGCAACCATGCTGCTTCATTCTCCTGCTCCAATTGACTCTTATACTGTAGGGTATAGCTTGGAAGGGTTCCTTTACTGTGTTTTTTAGATTTGTGCTTTGCTGTGCCATTTCATTGAGCCTAGAGACTGCTTTCCTTTAGGCCACAAACCGTGCCAGCCTCAGTTTGGGTGCCCTCTGTTATGTCTTGGGAAGTCTGGGAATTGTAGTTCAAGACACCTCAGAGCAATATCTTGAGGAAGGACTTGTTTTAACATCTGCCAAATCAAGAAGCCAAAATACAACAATAAGAGTTGTTGAGAGAGAGAGAGAGAAGTGGTTCTGAACATGGAATGATTTATTTATTTATTTATTTATTTATTTATTTATTTATTAAATTTATATGCCGCCCCTCTCCAGAGACTCAGGGCGGCTCACAATACATTTAAAAAAAACATTCTAAAAACATTTAAAAGATTAAAAAACATTAAAAACCTTAGAACGCATTCACACCATTCATGGCCGGATCTCGCCAGATCACAAAGCGAGATCATCGGCCCCAGGCCTGCCGGAAAAGCCAGGTCTTCACAGCTTTTCGGAAGGCCAGTAGGGTGGGGATGGTCCGGGATTTCCCTATTGCTGCTTTGCTGATTCCCCCTCCCCCCTTGTAGGTGACCCCAATCTGAAGAGTGGAAATGGCATTCCTGCACGGTGTGTCTACCTGGAGGAAATGGCTGCAGATCTTGAGGATCAGGACTGGCTGGACATGGAAAATGTGGAACAGGTCTCTGCATGCAAGCATCTGATGGGGTCTTCACCAGATTGGAGGTTTGCTGGAGAAGGCTGGTCTTGGTCATCAGGCAAACTGTTCCCTGTGCCTATGGCCAGGAAAAGATGCTTCCTCAAGCCAGGATGCCATGTGCCTAGAGGCCTTTGATTGCCCATTTGTTATGACATTTGCTTGATTTGCTTTATAGTACTTTTCCTTGAACAAGTCAATTTATATGAAACAGTTGAGTTCTATGGACTGTCTGCTTCTTATCTGTGATAATCAGCTGGATTTGGAGAAGCATGTGAAAGACCTGGCTGATTATGCAAAATGTCACTCTATAAAAAATTGGATGTGAATGAGATCTAGGCTCTTTCTCCAAATGTTGGGAGGGACCAATTATATTCTGGATTGATATGTTTCCTCAGGCCCTTTTTACCCGATTACTGCTCCCGGAACCTGGCAATCACTTGATCCACATGACTTCAACTGGCATGCAGAATCTCTCAGCAGAGAGAGATGCAGGAGAGAAGCACATCCTGCGATACCTCTTTGCCTGTTTCCAGAGGGCAAAGGAGGAGGTGGGTCAAGCACCCATATCACACCCAAGCCGCTTGCTGGCCTGGACAGAAGGGGCTAGAGATCAGCTGTTCTCTCTGTTCTTCTAGATCACCAAGGTGCCCGAGAACTTGCTGCCTTTTGCAGTGCGTTGCAGAAATCTGACTGTATCCAATACCCACACACTCTTCCTAACACCAGAGATCTATGTCAACCAGAATGTCTATGAGCAGTTAGTGGACTTGATGCTGGAATCATTAAGAGGAGCTCGTGAGTTGGCAAAGGCTGATACCCCAGGATAAGCTAATGGGATCCAGCTCGTGGCAGCTCTCCAAATATATCCTTTTTAAAATACTCGTCCTTTCTTTCCCCCATAGACTTTGAAGATGTAACAGAGTTTCTGGAGGAGGTCATCAAGAGCCTCACGATGGATGAGGAAGTGAGGACTTTTGAGGAGGTTATGGTCCCTGTCTTTGACATCCTTTCAGGACGAATTCGGGAGCTACACCTTTGCCAGATCCTGTTGTATTCTTATCTGGATATACTCCTGTATTTCACTAAGCAAAAGGATATTGCCAAAGTGAGTCCTTGGTTGTCTCATTCACCCCCAGATGGCCAGAATCCCTTGCTGCCTTTACCCTTTCACCTGGGAGAAAGGCCACTTTTCTCTATCTCACTTTGTGTGTATGTGTGTATGCGTGTGCGTGTGGTGAAGTTTTGAAATGTTTTCAAAGGAAAAACCAAGAAAGTCCAGTTGCCTTTTGAGAAAAAAAAAGCATCTTTGGGTCTACTTCTGTTTGTTCAGGTTTTTGTTGAGTACATTCAGCCAAAAGATCCAGCCAATGGACAGCTCTACCAGAAGACACTGCTGGGAACCATCTTGAACATCTCATGTCTTCTGAAGACACCTGGTGTGGTGGAAAGCCATGGCTACTTTCTGAACCCCTCTCGATCCAGTCCTCAAGAGATCAAGGTGCAAGAGTCCAACATCCACCAGGTGTATATTTCTGTTCCATTCCTGCTTTGCTTGGGTATCAAGATGGTCTGTTGAGAGGCAGCAAAATGGCCACTGATGACAAGCACTCTTTTGTGTACTGTTGTTTTATGCATACTATTCAAGTATGATCAGAGTAGTTAGAATGCAGTATTGCAAGCTAATTCTGCTGACTGCCAATTGCCGGCAGTTCGAGTCTCACTGGCTCAAGGTTGACTCAGCCTTCCATCCTTCCGACATGGGTAAAACCTGGACCCCAGATTATTGGGGGGCAGGATGCTGACTCTGTAAACCGCTCAGAGAGGGCTGGAAAGCAGGGAGTATATAAGTGCTATTGCTATGATTGGGCAGATCTGTGGCTATCAATAATGCCTTTGAATATGACACTGACTGCCTTCTATGGAGATCTTTTAGGGCTGCTGAGGGTGGGGAGATAATTAAAATCCGGAAAGTGCCGTAAAATGTGAAAATGCTGGAACTTGGGAAGGGAGCTGAGGAACAACTTGGTGGAAGAGAACAGGTTGTCCTCGACTGACGATCACAATTGAGCCCAACATTTCTGTTGCTAATCTAGTCAGTTGTTAAGTGAGTTTTGCCCCATTTTACGACCTTTCATGCCACAGTTGTTAAGTGAATCACTCAG